GTCCCATGCGTTTTAGGTCCAAAGCTCACGCGTTTGAGGCCGAGGCGCCTAGGTTGGGATAGCCTGCGGCGGATGCCACACATCCTGCGGTCCAAAGACCCGCAGAGACGGCCATGCCACAGGCCACAGTTGTGGCGGTGACCTGGCAACAGCCCGGAACAAGAAGCTACTAGTAGCTAATAGCTACGAGGTGGAGACCATCGCTATTAGGTTGGAGGCCATCGCTACTAGTAACAAGAAGCTACTGGTAACAAGAAGCTACTAGTAACAAGGGCATCGCTACTAGGAGCAAGAAGCTACGCTTCTCTCCTCTTTTCTTATTTCTTAGCCCTGGGGGGGTAGGGCAAGGATAGAGGATAAGAGGTATAGGGTACGAGTGAGTGGCTATTAGGTACTGGAGGCTACTACCTTGGACGCAGGATAGCTCACGCACTAATCATTTGGTTCCTAGGTTTTTTGCAAAACTTAACAATGAAGATTTCTTGGGGTCAGGGCCCAGGGCCATTGGGTGCATGGAATGGCATGGATCAAAAGCTTGCATCTTTAGCAGCGGACTCAGTATTTGCAGAGGGGACGCAGAGCAAAGACGACACCAGTTTGTGCAAGTGAAGAGATAACCAGGAGCCCTCCTCGCTGTCTGGAAGCGAAGCGATCGCCTTGGAGTTATCCACCTGCACATAGTCAGAATTGGGAAAAGCAACGCCCCTTCCAAATCTTCCAAACCTCTTCTTTAGCCAATAGTTAAATGTTGGAAGCAAAGTGAACCGCTCTTTGGCTTGCTGTGAGTTGCCTCGCTCCCTGAATTAAGCCAAAGGACTAAGAACGGAACAGGTTCCGCCGATGATCCTTTACGGTCTCCCTTTGGTCCAAAGAAACCTCTAAGTCAGGAACCAGTTCTTGAGCTTCGCGCAGCACTGGCTCAAAATCCAATGCCTTCAAGCCGGATGCTTCAATGGCTGAGTTCCTTCTTTATCTGCTTCTTGTTCCTAGTAGTGAGGCCAGGAGCTACTAGTAGCGTCCTTGTAGCGATGCCCAGGTTCCTAGTAGCGATGGCAGGAGCTACTAGTAGCTTCTTTATCTTTGTCTTCTACTCCGCAGAGCCAGAATTCAAAGACTGAGCCATGCACTGGCAGGGCATTCTTGCTACACACCCAGGTTCTCAGCCATCAGAGATTCGAACAGAGAAAGCAGAATCCTATGCAAAGACCCTCAACTGAGTCATCGACTCGAAGGCAAAAATCCCAAGCGCCTCTGCATGATGATTCACATTCAATCTCCTAAAGACTTATACTTATACATGTATAATGTGAATGTGGATCTTACTCATAAAACTGATGAGGATATTCTGATATATTCTGACTTGTAATCAAGTCCGCTCACAATCCCCAGCCTTCTCCACATCCATCGGTGGCGGCTTGTGAGGAGCTGTGCCAGCGATGAGATTTCCTCTGCCAGCCTGCAGCTCCTTGGCGCCAAGCAGACTCCGAGGCAACGAAGGTCGGTCAAACAATCAAACCATCTTCTTAGCACTCGGACTCTACTTTCAGCTTTGTCAAACTCCAGACTTTGGACCCCCAAAAAAAGAAGCCTTTGCTTTCTGAAAGCTTCTGAAGCGTCCCGTTGCGTCGACATCCGACCAGTCTTAGCTCGGCGCTAGGTCGTAGCGCCAGCGAGATCCCAAGTCTCGAAGCTCGGTCCAGGCCGAGGCCACCTGGCCGAAACTTGTTCCGTTCATAGCGATGCCCTTGTTACTAGTAGCAAAACATGGTTCCTAGTAGCGATGCCAGGAGCCCCTAGAAGCGTCCTTGCTCCTAGTAGAGCAAAGCTCAAACAGCTCCACCCACGGTTTGGATCGATGTTACAAAGGCCAAAACACCCGACATGGAAGTGGCCCGACTCGGCTATGGGATATAGGTGGATATAGGAGTTCGACGGCTTTCCCCAAAGATTGTTTTGCCTATTGCCTGCCCCCGTACTACTTAATTACGTAGGGGCCTAATAAATTAAGTACGGAGTAAACACGCTCCTAGTAACTGGACGCTATCCACCACGCCTAAGGGCGGGGGGAGATTCCTTGAAGAGGCGCTCGCACTATTCATTTGGTGCCGAGGTTTTTAGAAAAAATAAAAGAGTTTGGGCCATCCCAGGTGTGCAGTGCAAGCCTTGCAGAATGCTTCTGCATGAGATGGGATTGGCATGCCAGTCCTCACGCCAGCGGCTGAAACTTGAACAGCTGTGGGGGGTTTTAGGTGGTAAGAAAGAAACTTTCGCGGTGTGGGATGTGTTTCTCAACAGGACCCAGGCATTGACATCGGCGGGAGGCTATTCCATCTGTGCTCCTGTCACGCGGATAGACCTCCACTGCCCTTCGAAGGAAGCTTTCCCGGAGATCCATCTCAGAGGCATCTCGAGGGGCTCCCAGCCTTGAGGCGTTTCAGTTTGGATCGTTGCACTGATAAGCTGAGCGAAGGGGTCCGGTTTAAAAAGGATTCAGAAAAAGAGGAAAGGACCTCTTCGAAAAGGCCTTACGAATGAGGTCCTTAGCCTTAACCTTCTTTTATAGATGTGTTTCATAGGAAAGATTAGAGTTGTGTAGATTGCTCAAACGGATTGGTTGCACTGGTAGTCAAGATATGTATCTATATACAAAACTTGAGGCACAGTTCTTTACGACCATGTCAAGACAAACATGTAGATGCTCGACGGCTCCAACACCTAGGGCTCGACGGCAGTCAAGAAAGGGCAAATTCTCGAGTCACTGATACACTAATCCAACCCCTGTGGACTTTGTATTCTACATCAGTTGGGGGGAGATGCTCTTTAGGGCCATGTGGCTATAGTATGCTATAGTATATTTGAACCACAAATTGATGGATGTCATGCATGAACCACGAGCCCTGAAAAAAGACTCGGCATTTCAAATCCACCCAAACTCTGGAACTACTAGTGTGCGAAGGTCCAGAAAATTCCAGAAAGTGGAGGCAACCAAAGAACCTCAAGAACGACTGAAAGAGACAACAGCAGATACTCCCCGAACCAAGCTGGGTCCAGGCCAAGGCGGCCAAGGCTCAGCATGTATTGATCTGTTGCTAAGAGAACCTGGGTCAGTCAAGGTGCATCACACATATATAAAGGGTTTCCTACCCTCACTTCAAAACGGCCCATTCCACGTGGATTCCATTGTTACTGTTACTGTTGTGGAAGAGATGAGCATGATCATCGGTTGCATCAGAGAGTTTCAACACAAGTCCTCATTGATAAGACATGGGTCCTGAGATTCATGGAGCCAACCGTGTCTTCGATGTTTACAGTACACGAACGTCTGCCGGAACCGCTGAGTAACGAAGAGAACATAACAACAAGGGCGTCGCTTAAAAGGGTGTCTTTCCACCTTTTGGCGAACACAACCAGATAATTGATAAAATGTCTGATTCGACCAAAAAGAGCTCACAATTAGCCAAAACCCCCATTGGGGATCCATAATTACAAAACCGACTCAAAAAAAACAACAATGCACACAGCTTCTTGCACAAAAGAACACCCGCAAAAAAATGCGAGGAGGGGCCTTTATAAATACGGATCTCACATTACTATACTGCTCTTTGTCATCATTGAGTACCTTTAAAGGGCAAAACTGGTCCGAACGTATTGCAAACTCCATAAATAGCCGGTCCGCCAGTCTGCGAAGATACTGATCGCGTCCATCCATTGTTTATCCCCTTGTCGCACGCCTCTTTAGCAACGGCAGAGACCATAGCATTGGCGGCAGATCCTCAACATGATAAGCAAGAAAAGAGCGTCCGAAGCAAAGGCCGGCCACCGCCATTTCGGGGTGAAAACATGGGGATGTCTCATCTGCTGCTGGGAGAGAGATTCCATCATCACGACCAAAGCAAGTCGCCCGAAACACAACAGGCCATTTGGTCGCTGAGACTTCCAGCCTGAAATCTCCACATTGGGCTCAAGCTCATCAAAGGACCCGAGTCTGAGGAACGTTGTTGTTGAAGAGAACGGAATGCGTTTCGAGAGGCAGCAACTCCTTTCTGCCCGGACCAACACCTTCAGCCCTTTTGAATAAAACCTCACAAAATGTTTCTTCTGCCGGGGCCAAGCCGGGCAATCGATGCTCTCAGTCAGCGGCAGAAAGGTGGGCGAGCCGCCCTCAGTCTACACGTGGGTGGCCACGAAAGAAGGGGGGGCTTGCACGTTACAGTCACGTCTTGTGGTCTTGGCTTGCAGAATCAGTTGCTCCATCCACAAACAAGACAGTAGGGCCAACTAGTTGATAGAGACTAGGTTGAATATGATTGAATAGAGATTGACCTAGAGAGTTGTCACATCTTCCACTTACCTACTCTACCTGATTTTACCCGATTTTGATTCACCCAAAGCGTTCGCCAAGCTAAGCCTAGCACCCGCAAGTCCGGTGGCTGAAACACCTCTGACGATGAAGCCTCAGTGGGTCACGAAAGACTCCGAAGATCGGAAGACGTCATGGGTCCGTTGGAAGCTAAGCAGAAATAACTAAAGAATACCCAAAAGCACATACAGTTCTTGACTTTGCATTGTTTGGATCAGACTTTGCAGCCTTGGGTGATACCTAGTTCCATGTGCATGCACTTGCCCAAGTTGATGACAGGGATGGCCATGGGAGCTATGGCAGGGATGTCTCTGGCTTGCTGTGAAACTGTCCTGCTGAAATGCACTTAGCTTTGTTGTTGCTTTTGGGGGGGCAAGGTTGCACAAGAAAGGTGCCTGATTGGTGCACGTGCGATCTATGAGAGAGCAATACACCAACTTCTACTGCACCAAGTTGAAGGAGTTAGTGCCTCCACAAGTGAAAGTACTGATGTCAAGAAGAGGCATCACCTGAGTCTACATTCGATTCTGTTCGATCTAATCTTCTGCACTTGAGCCCTGAGTGAGGACAGGGGTTCGCAGTGGCAGAACTGAAGCAAGCTGCAAAGCATCGTCACAACCATCACAAGGAAACGGCAGTCCCAGTAGGGTGCGAGTAGTAGTAGATGTTGGCCCGGATCCATTGCCTGCAAGAAAGATGAGTTCGACAACAATGATGTTGGATGAAACAAGCCAGAAAGACGCCAGCTCGTGGAAGTCTCCAATCACCTGACAGCGTCTCTGGACGAGACTTCTCTTGGCAGACCTCTTGTGAAACTCTGTCAAAGAGCTCGCCTCCATGCCGGGACTCACACCCAACTCGAATGGCGCCAGTTCAGGCGACGCGAAGACCCCCTTCCAAGGCACAATGACAAACCAATTCCATTGACTGTGTGGGTGTGGTCCGTAGCATTGGACTTGTGGGGTAGCCACGAGGTTGACAGCAATCGGCCTGGTAGAGCAAGCGAATGGCGTTGGCCAGGACCTGGCACGCTGAAATGTTGTCCAAACTTCTTTCCACTGTTTTTCTGTTTGAACCCAAGATTAGGTATCATGCCAGGCTGTCACTGTCACTGTAAAGGCAAGCAAACCCTTCGGGCATGATAAAATTATCTTGCAGGTGTTTGGCGAAACCGGCTAGGATCGGCCTGGATGTCCTCACTATTGCTCAGAGGTTTGTAGTCCAGATGCGGTGACGAGAATGGGTTTCTGGACTGCACCACTAGCCTCAGTGGTTCAAACAATGCAACAGTTTCAAAAACTAGGGTTTCCGCGGCCTGCCACGTGTTCGGGCTTGCAAAAGGATAAGGGTGAAAGTCCTTAGTGGTTCTCAATCTGTGCAGCAATAAGAAATACAAAAGGCTTCGCAAATCCTTTCCAGAACTATCTACCAAACCCATCAGTAGGGACTTCTTTTGATAGCTCGACACTGATCTGATTGTCAAGGGGCAGGCTGGCAGGCTGCTTGGTTGAAACATGGTGTATGTGTATAAATAGATATATATATATATATATATAGAAAGCCTCTTCTCAAACCATTCAAACAAATTGAGCATGAAGCATACTCTCTAATGGTATCTGATCCGCTCAGGTTGAGCCGTGAAGAATCATGGGCCTAGCGCGGTTGGTGGGATTATCTGGGATTGGTAGGCATCTATTTGGGCCATGAGCTGAAATCCTCCAATTAAGGTTCAACTTGTTTGTCCAAGCTTCAACGTGAGATGACCTTCAAGACATCCCTCCAACAGCATCACCTGGCACGGCACCAAGGGACTCGAAACCAAAGCAAGAATGGACCTAGAATGCATCTCAACAATTTAGCTATACCCAACCGTCCGCTCCACTTGCCACTGCACTAAGGAACTTTGGTTTTGGTGAAAATGCATCCAGAGCCTACAGGGCCAACAATGTTGGATATCTTCGATACTCCTAAGATTACAGTCTCTTTCGGGCTTTGTGGGGTGACACGGCAAGTCGTACCTCTGTGTCCAAGGGTCCAGCGGCACCTGGCGTGTTGTTTGTGGCCTTAAAAGGTCATGGGACCATGGGATGCCATGTCCAGCAGCTGAAGCGCGATTGAGCCCCATGCATTCATGAAGGCATAGATTTGCCCTTGGCCAATGGAAGAATCTATGATGCAAGTGGGTGCTGACTGAAGCGGCAGGCCAATGAACTGGTCCGTATTGCCCAAGTGTGTCGTGCTGCCTAGAGCAAGAAGCTACTAGGAGCAAAGCAAAGCTGAGGGATTGCGAAGACAAGGTCGGCAGAGTTGGTTTAGCAGAAAGCTATGCCAAAGCAACAATCTCAACGTATGGGCCTTTCAGATGTTCAATAGAGGTTCGCTATGCAAGACTGCCCCGATTCATCTCAATGACACCGGCATGCAGCAAAAGTATGCTCAAAAATGCTGAGAACCCAGCCATCTTCAGTGAGATGGAAACCTTCTGGGCCTCATGCTGGGCGTTTACTGGCATTTAAGCGCAGAGTTCAGCGTGGGCGAAGAAGGTATTATATACATTATACATGGTAGTTCAGATTCCGTCAATTTCAAAAAAACATGCGTTCATCAACCTAGATCTTGATTCCCTCCGGTGCTTCAATGACCTTCAAGATGAAATGCGGCCAAGCGGCAAGGGACATTAGTATGGGCAACAATGGACAACCCCACATGCTCGTGGAAATATCGACTCACTGAGGGCGAAGAAGCAACCACCTTATGATGTGCAGAGGTTCGGGCTTGGCTCTAAGAATGTGTCCCTTCAGTGAGAAAAAGCATCACAAAGATCCTCTTTTCAGTCTAGGTGATTCAAAGGCAATAAGTTGAATTTAAGGGCTACATCCTGTCTTCTGAGGACTTATGGCCGCTGGGTTGTCTGATCCGCTGATCCGCTGATCCGCTGGTCCGCTGATCCGCTGATCCGCTGGTCCGCTGATCCGCTGATCCGCTGATCCGCTGATCCGCCGGTCCGCTGATCCGCTGATCCGCTGGTCCGCTGATCCGCTGATCCGCTGATCCGCTGATCCGCTGATCAGCTGATCCGCTGGTCCGCTGATCCGCTGATCCGCTGGTCCGCTGAGCCGCTGATCCGCTGATCCGCTGATCCGCTGGTCCGCTGATCCGCTGATGCGCTGATCCGCTGGTCCGCTGATCCGCTGATCCGCTGGTCCGCTGGTCCGCTGATCCGCTGATCCGCTGATCCGCTGGTCCGCTGATCCGCTGATCCGCTGATCCGCTGGTCTGCTGATCCGCTGATGGGCTGGTCCGCTGGTCCGCTGATCCGCCGATCCGCTGTTCCGCTTGTCCGCAGTTCCAATCCACAGGGGCTGGCTCCACATGTCCTCTGGGAACCGCTTCATGAATTCCCTTTTCAAAAGCCGGGCAACTTATGTTTGGGAAAACATACATAATAACAGCGTATACAATACCACGGCTTTTCGGTTGCAGAGGACACATCGAACCAGTGGCGCCCACACGCGCACTTCCAGGGCTGTGTTTCACGTGGGCCAATCAAGTCTCCATCTCCTGCAAGCTATCGATGGTGCCTGTCCCTTGTGCAATGCGCTCGTTGTGCGTCCAGCACACTTCTGTGAGAAACCACACGAAGCCATATTGGCTCATGTGCTTGGACGCATGTTTGAATTGGGACAGCCACGTAAATGTAAATTCGCAGACACTGCTCCGGATTCCTTCCAAGCGTTGCTTGTGGCACTCTAAAGTAGGTGCGCAGGTTTCTTTGCACCATCTGTCTGTGTGACCGGTCATATGGAAAGGGTCGCACACGAAAGCCATCTTGGGAGGAGCGATGCCAGCAGCAGCCTGCGATTCCTTGCCGGGAGAGAGCGCTTGAACAAAGCACCAACGCATTATATGTTCTAAAAACAAAAACCGCATTTTCAAAAGAAAGCACGTATGGGCATGAAAAGCATTTTGTACATCACCGTCCTCTTTGCGGCGTTCTGCGTATTTCAGCAAATGGCACGCGTCGTCATGGACGCAAAGAACTGCTTCTGGCAGCAGGCACTTAGCTTCTGACAGCGCAAAATATCTTTGCGACAGGCTTTCACAGCCAAATATTTCATGCAGCAAAACAATGAGGCCAGAGGAAAGGCATACGCAAAGGACCCCCGCACTCTTAGCCAGCTGAAGTGGCTCATGTTCTTTGTGGGTGACGCAGGCGACAGCGCTCAAATCTTCAGCGGCTGAGAGGTGTGGGAGCACAGTGACATCCGGAGGCGATTCCACGTAGGACGGGCCCACGGCCCGTTTCTTTTTGTTCTGTTGTCGTTCCACACCTTTGCGTTTGAAGTATTGGTCCAGCAAGGCTTGGTGCACCACAGACTCGGAAACCCAAGCTTCTCTTTCAGCCCCTTTTGTTTCCCGCAGCAACACCTGCACAGAGCCATCTGTTTGTATCCTGTGTTCCGCAATCTCCACATCCTGCACAGGGCTCCAGAAGACGGATATGAATTCTATTTGGGGAAAACGTGGCGAATGGGGGCCTTTGTGTACACCTTGGGGGCTTTTGTGCGCAAACGCCAGCTGCCAGATGCACAGATCTCTTTTTCAGCCTGTAGCTGGCATTACTACCAATCTAATCTTCATGTCCGTCTTGTCGCTTCCGCTTGGGAGGAGCTGCCGATTTCGCCTTTGCGGCTGCGGCTCGGTTCATGGCTGTCATGAGCTCTCTCATGGTGACTCCGCACAACTTCATCAGCTCATTGTGGTAGAATGTCCGCCCTGGTGCATCTTGCGGTATAGCACGAAGTTGGAGGGTGTCGTCTTGGAAGTCAAGGATGGGAGAACCAGCGCAAGCTTCCATCACGGCCACCCAGTCCTCTCGCGGTAAGGCCTTTCGACCGGATTCTCTGGAGGAGCGCAACTTGTCGCAAATAGTTTTCGAAGTTACCTTGGGATGCCCATGTAGAAGCGTAGCCTTCATGATGAAGCGATCAGTCAAATGCTTCGCGTGAAAAGCACTCTGCACTGAAGCGCCATCCGGGCCATACCCAAACTCGATGGAGCGAACGTCGGCAACCCGGAGCGGCTCAGTCTCGGGCGGAAGTTCGGGGCTGTGACTTGCAGCCGCATCGTCGACTATGGAGTCTGCAAAATCTCCGCCGGGAAAGGGAAGTGGATCTGCCCCAACCAAGGCATCGAAGTCAGGTTGCACTTCTGCCGGCTGCGGCTGGGGGTTGGGACTGGCAGCTTCTTCGCCCAAGGCAATGTCCTTGATTGTATGCACCTTGAAATGGTGTCAAAACACCATCACAGGGCTGCTAGACATGCTGAAGTGGAGCAAAGTTGAACATCTCTCTATGTGTGCATGCCCGGTGATACAACACCCCCCGGCACATAGACCCCGAATCCAAACTGTCTGAAGCATGCCCGTGCAAGTATGTAGCAACGTACCGCACAAGTATGTCTGAGCAACGTACCAAGTGTTTGCGCCGTCTATAAAGTATGTAGCACGTCACTCCTTTAGTCTTCGGTGGCTTTGTCGGACGCTCATATTATATATATATATATATACTCAGGACCCGGCGATTTTGACCAGAGCGAACGCACGTCGAAGGTGGTCGGGTGTGACCTGCAAATCTTTCTGCTGCAAGCGGTCGGCGCTGTAGACTCCTGAGAAGATTTCGTAGACCAGCAGCAGCCCGGCCAAAACGCCGATGTGCCACGGCGCAGCGCCGAGGCGGGCTCCACCAACAGGATCTGCACGTTCCCGGGCCATGTGGGACTGCACATTCAATCCACCCTGGTAGGACATGTGCATTTGCTGGGCTTCGGGAGTGAGATCAAGTTTCATGTGGCACGGAAAAATATTCCGTGACCCGCAGGACTGCCGCTTCAAGTTGGAATTCAGGAGGCGCAGGAAAAGCTCTGTTGGCCACACGCCATTCAGCGGTGAAGCCAGACGGCACCCTGGGATCCCTGCGGAATCGCAGGCGGCTCATGTTGCCGTCAAGCAGGCGGACAGGATAGCCCGCGGAAGATGGCAAGTAGTCGGCTGCAAAGTCTTGCGTGGCAGGGAGCTCTGGCGGCATCTCGCCAGGAAAGTAGCCTCTTTGGCGATGCCGAGCATTTCGGCCACTTCCGCCGGCAAAGGTGCCCAAACATGTCTGGGTGTCCCTGGCAAGTTCCAGGGCAGGTATTTCAAGAAGCGCAACAAACTGAAAGCTTCCTATACCCTGACCACAGGAGTGTTAAGGCAGTTTTGAGGATGTCAGCAACGACCCGAACAATCAAATGGTCCTGTAAACAAACCACAGCTCGGTTCTCCCAACAGACCCAGCGAACCGTCAAAGGGTGAACAGGAAACAGCTCAAGACGTCCTTGCCTGGTTCTAAGATGAAATCGTCGGGGAGGTCTTGGTGCGGCTGGACGGGCTTCCCAGAAGCCACTAGAAATCTCTCTTTGCACGCAACTTGATGCGATCCACTCTCGCCACGCTCCATGGGAAAGAACTGCGACGGGTGAATGTTTGTGGTCACACCTAGCGAGATGTTCCGGGAATCTGTTTCGCCAAATGAACCCGCCGTCTTGGTTGCTCTTGCCGCGGAGCCAAACTGCAAAAGTTTGTTGAGAGAGGATTGATGCGGGCTAATCTTGGTGGATGCTTTGGCTGAAAGCTTCTCATCAGACAGCAAACCAAAAGAGGTGAGAAAATCATACGCTTCGTCGAGGTTCCCAAGCACTCCATACCACCGGCGGCCGTGCCAGAGATGTGACCCACCTGGCAACTTGCTTCCATTCTTGACCTGGTCAAAGTCACTTGCGCATCTATGAAACCACTCCTCAGGGGTTGCGCTTGCGACGGCGGATGATAGCACCACAGCCGCAACCGGTTTGGGCCTCGGGTCACAGCTTCAAAGTCAAAGGCGCGAGACACCTACAAGCTTTGTCAACGTAAAACACAGAATGAAGCAACAGCTTCTGGAACTAAAGCCAGCTCTGGTTGGCGCTTGTTTCGTAGTTCTGTTCAATAACACGCATTGTTTATCCGAAACCGCGCCTCTGACCAGCAGCAGTGCTTTCATCATGCGTGAAATCTTGTTCCACTGACATCTGGTTCAAGAAGGTTTGAGTCTTTTGCCGGACATGGGAATCCAACACCCTGGTGATGCTGTCAGCATGGCTGGTGCATGAGCTCTTTCGTGTTTGTGAATAGTTCACGTTGATTCCAAAGGCAACCAAAGGACTGCTTGCCGTGGGAAAAATCTGCACAGCAGCTCCGTTCGTCAAAGGTGCCATCATCGATAACAAGTGCAGTGCATATGGGTACTCAGGGTGCGATGCGCGGACGGCCCATGTTTGACACATCTGGTGGCCTTTAGCCGTGAGGATGTCAGCTGGTTGCCACATCTTCCCCACAGCATCCCAAATCTTCTTCATTGCCGGCAAATATTCAACATCCCGGCTCATTGCCACAACGGACGCAGCAAGGGCCAAGAGGCAAACAAAATAGCTTTCTTCTGCGAAAGGAAAAACGGCTGCGGCGTCAGGTCATCCTATAGTTTGCGACCCATTCGTGTAGTTGCCTTCCCTTGCCGCACAGACAAACTATTTGACGAACACTTGTTCCCATCAAAATAGAGTTGGGGAGTCTGACACCAGGGTGTGCATGTGTGTGTGATTCTTCGACCATGAGCTTTCCGCAACCCAGGTCCTGAGGTGCAGCAGCCACATCATCTGTATTGCGCTTGGCGCAAAAGAGATGCCCAAGCGCAGGGGTAGCTGGGCAATTGTGCCGGAGTGTTTTGTTGAGAGAAAGAGACTGCTTTCTCCCGCGCAGCAACGCTGCGCATACAGCCCGCCGGTTCTTTGCGTTCCCGTCCATGACAATGACATCTCGCCGCATGTTTGCTGAGCGCGCTGAAGCCACGGCAGCATCTGAAAATGCTTTTTGTAAAGCAGGAAGAACAGGTTTCAGCAAATCTTCAACTCCCTGATGTATGTCAATGGGGTTCTGCGCCACACCCGGGATATTGTAGGCGTACCCTCGCACAAGCAACCGCCACTTGAACCAAGCCTCGCTGATCATTTTTCTGAGCCGGGCCACTGGCAGCCAAGCAGTCTGACCGTGTCTGACTGCTCTTTGTTGAATGACGTCACTCTCACTGATGAAGCTAGCATGTTGGCGGACAACACGGCTGTGAAAATCTTCCAGCCATTCGATCGAAAAGCCAAAAGATGATGAAACCATGAAGCATTTCAAGTCTTGTGGATGTCCCAGAAAGAAACGTCTTCCAGCGTCTACGAAGTAGTTATGCCAAATCAAGCTGCCATACATATCACAGTTCTTGTTGCGACAGCGACACGGTATGTGGTCCTTCCTGACCAAACCACCTGTGTGCACTATGGTCGCTACTGCCTTGGCAGATGCAATCTTTGCGAGGTGCGAATCACACCGTGGGCAGGACTTTTGGAGTGGCAACAATTCTCGGAAACAGGTTTCACCGCCAAAGACAGGGAGGCAATGCCCGATCTCTGCACTAAGACACTCAACCACGCGTCCAGCCACGGCATCGGGCACAACTGCTGCCGGGTCTGCACTGGTCACGACATCTAGCAAGCAAGCGAGTCGCTGCTCCATCCGCGCAAACCATGTGCTTGACAATATGTATAAGATAAGAGAAGCACAAAAAGGGTTGCGCTCGAAACAATGACTATATGCTGCTTTGCAGTCTACATGTGCAAACTTCATGTATACACGTGTATGTAGTAGAAGGGCGCATGCCCCTACCACAAAGCGGCCGTCCAAAGCTGTCTGGGTGGAAATCAGCATCCGTGAAAGGTTTTCAAACCATGTCAAATCTCTTGGTCAACGTCTTTTCTCTCTCTCTCTCTCGCGTGCTCGATCCATCCGTCCATCCATCCATCCATCTATCTCTCCCTCTCTCCCAAAGCCAGACAATATGTGTGAGAATGTGCGTGGGATTTGATTCAAATGGTCTTGCTCCGCTAATCCACTGGTCGATCCGCTGATCCGCTGATCCGCTGGTCCGCTGATCCGCTGATCCGCTGGTCCGCTGATCCGCTGGTCCGCTGATCCGCTGATCCGCTGATCCGCTGATCCGCTGATCCGCTGATCCGCTGGTCCGCTGATCCGCCGGCAATGGTTGGACAATATGACGGCCATGAGTGCTTCTGAGATGCAAACAGGTATGTCGAGACGCTCAAGCTCCTCGCTGGCAAACATTTCAGTCCGCCCCAAAATGCCAACGTGCACGACCGATGTCAAGAATTATATATGTATATGTATGTGTGTGTTGACATATAGTCCAGAGTTGATTCCTTTCTGGATAGGTGAAAGCTCAAGAACCCTGCCTTTGGCTCAGCAATTCCCGACAAAGTCAAGATCTTTGGTGTTGCAAGCACTCCGGTGGCCAGTATCACCTCAACATGGGCCAGTCATGGCAAAACCAGCAAAGTACAAGCCAAAAAGCAAGACGAGAAGCCAAAGCCATGTGGCAAGACTTGTGGAGGAAATGTGTGGAGAGATCGTATGATCGGCATTGCACTCGCTAGGCCTGGGGTGCAGACTTCTTTCTTAGCACGAAATCGGAGGCGCTGGTCAACAGCCTGTCACTGCACTGCCAGCCTTTTTGTCCACCAAACATCACCAAACAACCTTTTTCCATTGGTTGTATATGTACATGTGTGTGTATATATATATATTATAATTATATATATACACGTATAAAATATCAATCCCGACCTTGGGACTACTTGCAATGGACACCTCAACTCCGATGGCCTGCACAGGTCGATGACCAGAATTGACAATCTCAATGCGAACTCAATACCCTTGGCCTTGTCACCATCGAAAACAACGCGCTCTGCATAAGCGTGGGTCAACGTCTGAAACCTGAAGCAAGGGATGCACTCATCAAGATTATCATCCGCAAAATCCAGAGTACATCGTAGTTTGAAGGTCTCAAGGGGCAAATAAAGGAGCCGCTTCTAGGAACCAAATCACTGGTGCGAGCACTTCTTCAAGGAAGCTCCCCGCCGCCCTCAGGCGAGGGGAACTTTCCTGAAAAAGCGTGAGCTATCCTTCATCCATATGTAGTAGCTTAAGTAGCTAGTAGCTTACTCCCTTACCTGATTAAGTAAGCGCTTAATCAAGTAAGGAGGCAGGGCCGCGAGCTTCAAAAAAAAAGGTGTGTAAAGTTTGCTATGGCACCTGTGAGCTGGAGAACTACGAAGGTGTGAAGCCAGATTTTGGTAAGTCGTAGATCGTGGACGACCTGCAGCCTCAGTGCGTTTCTTGATTCCACACCCATGGCTTGTCTTTGATAGGGCGAAAATGCTGCTTCGTGCAAGAGAAAGTGTTCTGGTCAACAGTTTCATTGTTGGAATGAAACCGCATTATTCTAGATGTTGGGACTTTATGGGTAAAGGCTATAACTAAGTTCGTCAAACATTGACGGTGCAAAAAAACATGTTAATCCCATTGATGCAAGCCGCAAGTTGCACGCGGGAAAGCCGTGTGGGCTGGCATCTTGGATGGCCACAGCCTCGACTTTCAACATTCGGGACATGTTTGAGCAAGAAACGTGGAAACATCTTCGGGAATGCTCTGATTTCGCGCTGACGGGCCCTTATCAACCTGAGCTGTCATGTCATCGTAAGGGAACTGTGACGAATGCAAAACGGTCACAAGCAGTTGACTTGTTGCGCAGACCGCACACAAAGAAGGCATCTCGAGTCAGGGCAGAGTTCCAGCAGTTCCTGAGGTCTTGTTTGTGAATCCACAAGCGCCTTAAAACACTAGACAGTTGTCAAAGCGATCTCAAGCATCTGCTAAGATGAGGTTGCCTCTCCTGCAGCTTCTGCAGAAAGTCTCCTCCATTTCCCTTCTGTGGGCAAAGCTTCTGCATTCATGGCAGAAAGCAAGCCGTGAAAGAATCTCTCAGACAAAACAAAGAACTGCTGTCGCTTAGGCGGAAAAGGCCGCGCTTCAGCATACTCTGACCACATTTTGTAAATGTGTTCTGGGCACAAGAAATCTGGAGGAAACCCAATCTAAAGCGATATCTGGGCACTCTTGTCCAAACTGCTTGCCTCAAATTGCACCCGAGATGAATCAAGCGGTCTAAGCAGAAACATTCAACATGACAAAGGGTACAGTAGCAAGGGAGCCAGAAAGACCAACACCTACGAGCACATGGCAGCATTGATTCAGAAAAGTCATCGCAGGCCAGGGAAGCCAAGTCTCAGGCTGCGAATCCCAGCGGCACGGCATGTGTCAGCATTCATTCCACAATCGCTTTCAATGTCAGTGAAGCAATGCGTACAGCGTGACTTCTATCTGTACCAGATGCACTCACATTTTGTAAAGTGAACTAGACGTGAGCCATGTCGCATATCGAAGGCCGCATACCGAAGGCCCTTTTGTGTCAAGTGAAAGAGTCGCGCTGCTCTGCCTGTGTTTGCAGGTTATGAGCCCAACCCTTTTTTAAGACCACCCAGATCCACAGTGCGTACCACCCAGATCCACAGTGCGTGTGAACTGGTTGTTGGCTGCCATGGCAAACCCTTTTTGGTCGCGAGAGCTGCAGGATAGGTTCGCTTTGGAGCAAGCAAGACCAGAAGACCTTTCACTGGTCCCTGAAGGTGGTTCAGGTGTGAGCGGAGTTGGTGAGTCGGAAGAGATGATCCCTGATGCTCAGGATCTCCTGGACTTGTTGAGCTTGGACGTGGACCAGGAGAATCTGGAGGAAGAGATCGATATCCAGCCGGGCTGGCCTGAGGTCAAAGATGATTCGGGCGCACGAAGTTCTGCCGGTCCTCCAATGCCACCAACAAGCTGGATGAGAAGACCTGTGGAGGGGGGAGAGCGAACAATGGCGTTGCGATTGAGGGAACGGCGGCCATGTGGAGACCATCGAGTACTAGGTCAACAGCCGGAAAAACATCAACGGCTTGATCAGGTCAACGTGATCACTTGACCCGGGTGGATGGTCACCAAAAGGCTGAACAGCAGGAAGATCGTGGGGTACCAGGTCAGCGGCTGGGAGAACACCAACGGCTCGATCAAGCTAGAGGTCGACGTGACCGCCTGAGCCGGGATGATGATCTTTCACAAAAAAATACATGGGGTTTACATCAGCAGGGCCTAGATCAGACCCCTATGCAAAAAGTTGCTGTCTCAAATCAGGCTTGATCTGTCTCAAACAGTCTCTTTCGAGACAATCGAACTCCAAGTAGTGGAAGAACTTCGGAGGCAAAATGAGGAGCTTCGAAATGAGGTGAAGGTCTTGAATGAGAAGATCGCACAAGGCCAACGCCACCGAGATCGAACTCCCGAAGACACCAACGACGGCCATGTTCACGCCGATGGAACAGCCAGTACAGTGACAGGTGAGGAGAACGCCAGGCGGTACACAAGTCCCACCGGGAACACCACCGCAGACACTGGATGAACCGCGAGGTGAACTACCGGAGATTCCACCTTGGCCATGGTCGAAGTTTGAGCAGGGGCGCTCAGCGGAAGAGTGGTCAGGTTGGGAACGTCGACAACGTGAACTACATGAACGAGATCGTGGAGTACACAAATTGAACTATGGGATGTTGGGCGCAGCTGGAAACCTACATCGGGAAGGTTGCGGGGGCGGGTTGCACCGACATGCAGGTCCTGACCGCGGGGTCCATCCCCGATGGCATGAACTATGTGACGGTGAAGGACGAGAGGGACTCGGCTCCACCGTTGGAATGATGGAGTCAGAGAATGGCAAGTGGACTGCAATGAATGGTGGATGTGCACCAGACGATGGTCCGGGCCGATTTCAAGTTGCTCGTCTTCAGTGGCTTGATCACCTCATTCTCCACTGGGGGAATCCAGAGGTCCTTCTCTTCCAGGATCTGCTTCGTTCCCACCAAGTAGGTCTGCAGTACCTCTGCCTCCAGGGGTTGCTTCTTTCTCCCCCAGCCTTCATGATGCGGGCAAGTTCTTGGTGATCGTCCTGTATCTTCCGATCAAGCCACATTGCATCTCTTTTCAGCTGTCTGATGCACGCATCCGCTTGACCCTCAGGAGAGATGCTCATGGCCATTGGCAATGGTGACCCTGGTGGTGCATCGACGGAAGGTAGTCGTCCTGAACGCGCTGGTCAAGATGCAGTGGAATTACTACATCAAGAGGGCCCGCACTCCATTGCCAACCAGCTGAAGGAAGCTGCGGAGTTTTGGGAGGTGTTTGATGATCAGGCACAACCCCCGTCGCCGGATGGTAATGTGCAAGGTAAGCAACCAGCTCATCGACTACATCAACCTGGCCGACGACCTGGGGGGAGGAAGTGCATGCAGCCGTAAGGGCATTGAAAAAGATTGAGGTCACCCCGATCACCTTGAGCAAACATCGAGGACTTGAGGAGTGTCAGGGGTGTGGGCTCAAAAAGATTGAAGCAGATATAGAGTGTAGGGTGTGTGAAACGCCAACCAGAAGAAAAACGGTCGAAAACATCATCCTGAAGGGGATCAAAGGCATCACGAAGGTGATGAATGAACTCCGTCAAGGACTTCAGCGGGTGATTGTGGATGAAGTGGTCGCTGTGCGGTGCGGCCTGACCGCTACTGTGGTCCGAAACCCATGCCCGTCCACCGTCATCGCCCAGTAGGCCCCTGCCCATGAAGCCAAACCTTCTGCTGGACCCATGACAGTTGCCTCAATCATCGGGTGCTTCCATGCATCCCAGCAGCGATGCCAGGTTTTTGACCGGACCATAGCCTTAGGTTTGGAGCTGCCACGATGTCTTTCTTCCGCTGCATGCCTAAGTGCTGTAGGCCAATCTCGGATAGGCAATCCAGCAGACTGCAGGAGAGCTCGCGCTGCAGTCTTCAGCAGTCTTTTCCGGTAGGCTCGTCTCCAGCAGTAAAACAATGCTCCAGGTCTCTAGCCGTTGTCCGCTCCCGAAATCGCTTCGACGCAAATTCTTTTGCTCGATCGGTTTTGATGCGGAACACCGGCACCTGCAGAGCACGATATCTTGCAAACAGCTTTGATGTTGCTGCAATCACCGTCGCCTCCTTGCGATTCAACAGAGGCGCTGCCAATGTGAGATGTTTCACACCCACATCTTTGAGCTCAGCAATGCGCTGTTCAAATGATGCCAGCTTCACTTCAGCCTCACACACCACTGCCTCATCACCATCTCCTTTGAATGGGTTCGGGTCTTGACCCTCCGGCAGTATTTCTTGCCGATCTTGGAATGTGTGCTCAGTGCTCAGCACCCTCCTCCACATCCTCCACTGAGTCAATCCACAGATAAGAGGTTTGTCATGGCGGACAGGTACCGTCACTGTGGTCACCAAGAAGTATCTTGCTTGTCCCATATCCTGGTCACATCCTGGTGCAAACGGCCCAGCCACGTCCACTGCCATAGTGAAGGCACTTGGAAATGGCTGTCGAAGACGTGGGCGGTCTCTTCCTGCTCCACGAAGGCACTCACGACAGTCTCTTCGATGTGGAACATGCCCATTGAGAATGCACTATGCCCAATTGGTGTCCTCCCTAACGGTTTTCACCTTGGGCGAGACTGATCTTCCCACTCTTTGCCAAGAGTCCCCCACCGTCTGCTTCAGCCCCACAGCCCATGCAGCCAAGCCATTCGATTCCGCCAGCGCCTGGTCCAGGTGTGTTGGCCATGACGTTGGTGTTCTACTGTCCTTCAGCCCATCCAATTGTGTGACTTCAGGTATAGATGACCAAAGACATGTTGGTTTCTTCCGTGCATGACCCAGTGCTCCTTGATCAATTGAAACTCTCCTCAACTTCAAGTCCGTCTCTAGCACCTGTATCACCTCCGGCCATACCGTGAATGTAGGCATGTTGTCCCCCTCACGATAGGTTGCGGGATCTTCTGGCGTCTCCACCATGAATTCAGTCTCCCCCGGATTTGCTGACTCACACAGCTCTGCCAGAACCAATGTCCTCAAGAGCAGCTGGGTGTCAGTGTCAACCAATGCACGCACATGCGGCCTCAGATCACTCTTGCCCCATCTTCCAGGGCCCTCCCGATCTCGTACTTGTCGAGGTCCACCATCCTCTCGAAGGCGAAGAACAGAGATCGACCTACGTGGCGGGGCCAGCCAGGACATCCATCAAGTATGCCATTGTGGAGTCATTCAGGTCTTGATTCTGAAGAATGTCTACATTCACAATCACCCACCCTGTAGGGACCCTCTTTGACCACCGGTCTGCCCTCTCGATGCTCCGCCTCATCCTCCTGTTCCACGCAATCTCTGTTGACTCGGCTCCCGGTCGAATTGCCAACTTTGCCAAGCGCTCCAGTGGGACTGCTGGGAATTTCTCCTTCAGCATGTTCAGGTCCAACATGATTCTTCAGCATGCATCTCTTGGCCTCCATGGATCAAAGCCTTCACCACTCCATGGATCTTCTTCTTCTCCTCCTCCAAGCACGCCATCAGTCGCTTGCCGTCCTCAGCCGAGACATACGGGCAATTGGCAACAACTTTCACTGTCAGTGTCCCCGCTCTCGGATGGCGCAGCCGACATTGGCCAGGTCGCCAGTCGATGACTCCGCCTTGTGCTACTAGTTCTCCAAGTGGTATTATCGGCGCCACGTCACCATCATTGGTCAGTAGGACCCCACTCTCAGCTTGGCGCAAAATGCAATCGCCAGTAGCGGTTTGCGCCACCGTTTCTTTTGCGCTTTGCCACTCTTCCTGCGATGTTGGTGCCCGCAGGATGTGTGTAGCTCCTGCGTCCAGCAGCACTCCACACCCCTCCTCCATCCTCATTGTTCGAAGGTTTGCCACTTGCCCCCGTACTTGATGTCACTGTCGTACTTGGGCTTTCTACATTTTCCATTGTCTGTGAACTCCCACTCCCCCCGCCAGCACCCTCACTAGCTGGTGTAGTTCCGGAGGTCACTGTTGTAGACGATGTCGTCGTTGTCTTGTTGAGCTGAGGCTTGCCCTTCCCGGCTGCTTTGCCCTTGCCCTTGTTGCCGTTGTTCTCCTTGCCCTCCTTGGTGTCTTTGCCTTTGCCCTCTGTCTTCCCCGGTGACTTTGTCTTGCTCCCAGCTGGGCGTTCATGCTTGCGATGACCCAATGATGAGCAAATCCAACAGCGATCATTCTTGTCCTGGACCCCAGTCCAATCATGCCCAAATCTGCGCGATGCTCCCCGTGCACAGCCCGCAGCGGTGCACCAATTTCTGCACGCCACCTTCGTTGCAGGTTTCTCTGAGTTCTGCTGAAGCTGTTTGACCTTTGCCTCAGGTGCTTCTTTGCGATCCCCTGTCAAAGCTGCAGTGGTCAGCTCTGCCTGCAACAGTTGGGCAAATCGCGTCACCACGCCCTGCTGCGTGGTCGTGTCCAAGTTGTTTGAACGCCTCCAAGATTGCACCCTGAAGTTGATCTGCGGCTCTTTGTTGAGGATCTGCCTGCGTATTGAGTCCAATGCCCCAATCTGCAGCACTGGATCTGGCAGTGACTCCCAACGCGCAGCTTCTCCACTCCATCTGCCGGTGACACCGCAGTTTCTGGTGTCGTCAGCGCTCGAAGCAGGCCTGACTTCTCACCCAGTCCTGGTTGAAACCTTTTCATGACTTCGAGCATAATGGATGCCGCTGTCAGCTTCCTGTTTGCAATGATGTCTGACTTGATCGATGATGGCAATGCAGCCAGTAACATGCTCGTCACACGACCTTCAAGCCTTGTTGCATGTGGCTTCACCTGCGCATCGACTTCCAGGCGAGTCAAGGCATCGGATGACAGCCACACCTTGTAGACTGCATTCACCTCATTCATGAGTCGCGCCCACCAGCGTGCTGCCCCACCAGAGACGTCCCCAATCAGCGGCTCAATCTCCGTGATCCAATCCCCACACCTGAGAGCTGCCTGAGGTGTGCTCTCATCTGGCAGCTTAGGAAGAGTCACATTGATCGCCCTCAGGTAATATTCGGTTCATCCTTTGCAGTGAGGTCCAGGTTGCTTGACCCCCACTCAAAATTGGCTCCTCCCCCGTCAGGCCTCTTCATTTCAACTGACACGGGTGGAGGTGGTGGAACATAGTCCTGGCCTGGTTGCTGTCCATCTGGCACCCCATGTGGTGCTGGAAAATACTGGCACGTTGGTGAGGAAGACACCTGGGGAGGTGAAGACACTGGTGGCATCTGGTGTCTACATCGAGATCATTCCAGCTAAACTACTATGCAGTCGCAAACTTTAAGCACCATGTGGAAGAAGAAAGGCAAGGATCGTCGGGTGTGGGAACTTTGGCACGCCTGATGAGACAGTGACGACCTCGACTGGAGGGATCGATGCAGTGGCACTGAGGGTGTTGATGATGGTGGCAAGCCAGAGGGGCTGGACATGTGGCTCTACTGACATCAAGAGTGCATTTCTACAGACCCAAGCGAAGTGCAGCGCATCGTGTGACCCTTGTGAAACCACCGCAGTTGGTTGTACAGCTGGGGATTTGCGCCGCCTGGAACAATGTGGGCAGCAGAGGGAGCCTTGTACGGCTTGAGAGAATCGCCGGAGGATTGGACCTGCCACCGCAATCAGTTCTTGAGGAAAGCGGCGTGGAGGTGTAGTGGCCAGGATCGGCGAATGGAGCAGCTGGCGGAGGCCAATGTGTGGAAGGTCGTAGACTTGGATGGCAATGTGAAAGCCTACTTGGGGACCTATGTGGACGACCTCATTGTGGTGAAGGCAAACCATCTGGGAGTGCTCAGGTAGTCATGTACTTGAGAAGGTGGGGCAGGAGCTGAAGTTCTGTGAGTTCCAGGTGCTTCGAACAAGTGATGGCTACAAGTTGCATCAAGGGGACTACATCGTGGACCTCTGTGATAAAAAGGGGGTGACTGGTCCGTCGACGTGGAAGGGAACGGTCCTTCAGGAGGCGGAGGATGAGCACTTCGACATCGCAACCTTGAGGGAAGCTCAAACACTTGTGGGGGAACTCCAGTGGGTCACGCGCAGAAGCAGGCCAGATGTCTGTTATGCAACTGGTGCGCTGAGCCGGGCAATGCATCGTCGTCCAAAGGAAGTCTGCGAACACGCAAGGGCAATCCTGACATACCTGAAAGATACTGCAGACCGAGGTATCAACTTCAGAAGAGTGGGTGGGTGAACATCCACTTGGAAGAACTCAAGTTCCCGAGGAGTGAGACCGATGTGGAGGCATATGCAGATGCATCGTTTGCACCAGCGGCGGAGGCCTACAAGTCAGTCCGTGGGACTATTGCGACGGTAGCTGGATGTCCTATTTTGTGGAGCTCGGCGCGGCAACCATTCATTACAGGATCAACGGCAGAAGCGGAGCTGGTGGCCTACACTGAGGTCTTCCAACAGGCCGAAGGGGTTGCAACACTTCTTGAGGCTCTGGGCATGGAGGGGGTGAGGAGATCATTGTATGGCGACAACAAGAGTGCACTGGCATTGTGCCAGGGCGACGTTGGTGCCTGGAGGACTCGTCATCTTCGACTCCATGGAGCGGGACTGAGAGCAGTGGTGGGGTGTGAGGTGAGCGGATGCACACGCACCATGTGAAAGGAGCGGAATTGCCTGCAGACGGCCTCACCAAGCAGCTGATGGGACCTGCCTTCGAGCTGTTCGTGAATCAGATCGCCATGAAAGAGGGTAAGAGTCATCACTTCATCCAGGCGAAGACGATGGCAGCGAAGCAGCGAGAGCACCAAGATGAGGATGACTGGACGATCATGCGGGGCGCATTGGCGGTGCTCCTTGCAGCAGCTCTCTTTGCGAGTGGCGCTGAGTCGCAGCTGATAGATTTGGTGGCCTTAGCACTCATGCTAGCAGGAGTCACGTGGCTGAGAAAGATTCAGAAAAATTGGATAGGGAAGATGAACCAGCCCTGGGGGGACCTGCTCCCGAGGCAGGTGGGATCACCATGAGGGCACGAAACGAACCCATGGTGGGAGATGCAAAAGAAAAGACAAGATCGGATCAGACCAAGAGAAGAGCGGCGAGGGCCCAGAATGAACCCGCCGGGGAACCCAATCCTCCCAACTGTAGCCCGGAGGGCTCCCATGGAGGTTCGAGCGGTGATCAAATCACCACGGCGCGCCCGCGAGCCATGGTCAAGATGATGAGGGCGGACGACGATGGTCCGCCACGTGCGAGACCGCGCGAACCATGGTGGCACCCACCATTTCATGTGCCACCTACGGGGACCACAGACCGCTGGCAGGTGGTGGAGAACTTTGTAGTGAGGGTCCACCGCAAGATGAGGTACCAGAGGCGCCATCCAATCCACAGCTCGTATCCACTACGAGATGAGCAAGTGCTGACGGGCAGCAGGGTGACCATCAAGTACATTGGTGTCGGGGCTACACTCGACAAGGAGGCGGTGACCAACCTCAGTCTGCAAAGGCATCGACCATTGCACCGCCTCCAGGCTTGCAGCATGAGGCAATCAGTGCCTGTGGAATGCTGATGGAAGCGAATCAGACTCCGTCAGTGAGTGAGGGCGCAGAGACGCCCTATGACTACGACTGGCCGGCAGACGACCGAGTTGGCGAATGTCATTTCAGACCAGTGGAATGTGACAGCGACGAAGAGTTGCTGAACTGATGCGGCAAAAAGCCGTACTGGGCCTTGAGCTGAAATTCGCGAAAACCGCGAAGGGGGAGTGTACCAGATGCACTCACATTTTGTAAAGTGAACTAGACGTGAGACCATGTCGCATATCGAAGGCCGCATACCGAAGGCCCTTTTGTGTCAAGTGAAAGAGTCGCGCTGCTCTGCCTGTGTTTGCACTATCAATTGCCTACCAAAAACACGAGAGCTGAATCCCAACGATTAAGGGTCATCTGAGCTCCCAGCCCATTGAGCGCCAAATGCCGCCGACTCCATGAATGGTGATGTTGCCATGTGGATCCACCCTGAACAAGATCGGGACTGACCAAGATCAATGGCCCCACATGGCCCTCTGTTTGCTTCCAACATACCGTTGGCGCCAACACAAGCATTAGTCCAAATGAGTGGAGTAGATATAGATTTGCCAGGATTTGCCCTAATCAAGCCTGAAGGGCACGTTGATACGCTCAAATGCCCGGAGAAGTTGACGAAAGACGGGGGGCAACTCCTACGACATGCAGCTCACAAGGCTAAGGAACTGGTCCTCAAAGATTGTGTAGCAGCCTAGCAACTATGTGAATCATATATATATATACACGAACCCATATATATATATACACATACTATCATCAATCTGAGAGGTTCAGCACAAAAGCAGCTCCTCTGAAAGTGCAGAGATGAGCGTCAAATGGCAGCCTGGCCTAAGATGCAAATGGAAAGTCATTGCGTCTCAGTAGCGCGACTAAAGTGAAAATACCTCACTCAAAACCTCACCCATTTGGAGTCTGCGATTGAATCTGTTAAGCCGTTAAGCACCCAATGATCCCGGCAACAGAACCCAAACAGTGTGTGTGAGGTCTATAAGCAGAATGTCCAGAGATCCAGAGAGGTGATGGTGGTGATGAAGGTGGGGATCGTGACTGACTGACTGACTGACTGAGTGACTGAGTGAGTGAGTGACTGACTGAGTGAGTGAGTGAGTGGTGAGTGAGTGAGCGAGTGAGCGAGTGAGCGAGTGAGCGAGGGAGCGAGGGAGCGAGGGAGCGAGGGAGCGAGCGGGCGGGGGCGGGCGGGCGGGCGGGCGGGCGCGGGCGGGCGGACGGGCGGGAGGGAGGGAGTGAGTGAGTGAGTGAGTGTGGGCGCAAGTGTGAGTGTGAGTGTGAGTGAGAGTGAGAGGGAGAGTGAGTGAGAGTGGGAGAGTGAGTGAGAGTGAGAGTGGGAGAGTGAGTGTGAGTGTGGGTGTGAGTGTGAGAGTGAGAGCGAGAGTGACAGTGAGAGTGAGAGTGAGAGTGAGAGTGAGAGAATGAGAGTGAGTGTGAGAGTGAGTGTGAGTGTGAGTGTGAGAGTGAGTGTGCGTGTGAGTGTGTGTGAGTTTGAGTGAGTGTGTGAGTGAGTGTGAATCCGAATGTGAGCGTGAGTGTGAATGCAAATGCGTGTGTAAGTGAGGGAGGGTGAGAGTGAGAGTGAGAGTGAGAGTGAGAGTGAGAGTGAGAATGAGAGAGCGAGAGAGTGAGAGTGAGCAACTGTCACCAAGAGCTGTGCCTGCCACGACATCTGCACGTCGAGGTTCACAAAGCGCTGTGCCTGCCACGAAATCTGCACTTCGGAATTCACAAAGTGCTCTACCTGCCACGAATTTGTTCACCAAGTGCTGTACCTGCCACGAAATCTGCACTTCAGAAGGTTCGCCAAGTGCTGCGCCTGCTACGAAATCTGCACTTCGAGGTTCACCAAGTGCTGCACCTGCCACGAAATCTGCACTTCGAGGTTCACAAAGCGCTGCACCTGCCATGAAATCTGCACTTCGAGGTTCACCAAGTGCTGCACCTGCCACGAAATCTGCACTTCGAGGTTCACAAAGCGCTGCACCTGCCACGAAATCTGCACTTCGAGGTTCACAAAGTGCTGTGCCTGCCTGCCACGAAATCTGCGCGTCGAGGTTACAAAGTGCTATACCTGCCACGAAATCTGCAAACGAGCCACATGTCCAAAAGTCACGATTCACTGCACCTGTCACGAAATCTGAGCTCCTCGACGATCACCACCATGTCCAAAGTGCTGCGCCTGCCACGAAAATTGGACTTCGAAGTAAAACAGCTCCGATCCCTTGCACCTGTTACGAAAAGTCGACTTTGGAACACCACCATATACCAAAATGCGCACGGCACCACAACCAGAACGCAGTCGCTAGAAGCACCCGCCGCGGACACCCAGATTCAGCGAGCCTGCGCAGTCGAAATGCACTTCGAGGATTTCGAGAGGCATGAATGTACTGTAAATAGCAACGAATTAGCCGGTCACGCCCGTGCGCTTCAGCGATCTAAGCATCAGCTGCCTTTCCCTTACCGTAAGAACCCCTAGTGGCCCTAGTGTGTCCACACTGTTTGGGGAAAAATATCTACACACACTGTCTGGCAACCAAACCAAAAGGGCCGTCAAGTTGCTTCTCGGGGCTTTCTCCAAATGCACCTGCAGGTGCAAAGCTCTGGGCAGGAATCACATGTTGGCAACTTGAGTAATCGAGTTGGAGACAATGGTTTGATTCAGAGGTGCAAATGAATTTCATGCTGGAGGAGATTGAGTGGCATAGCTTTTATCGGGACAAGCGGTTAGGACTTTGACTCTAGTCATCGTGAGAAAATGGTCCGATCCTTGCACACCACCCAATTTGTGGGTTTCTTGAAACAATAGGATGAGTCAGTCACAGCATCAGGCTTCCCCAAATTACCTTGTGGAAGAGGACGATGAAAGTCAACTGCTACGTCGAAACCAGGTGCTTCCATCGGAGCCTCACAAATCTCTTCAATTGAGCAAGGGGCAATCAATAATAATCAATAGCTACTAGTAATCAAGGGCATCACTACTAGTCGAGCAGCCTCCAAACTCTTGAAGGCACTGATCACATCCGCTGTCCGCCAACCGAACGCCTGCAGAAACTCAAACTCAGAGTCTCAGAGGTCTTGGAAATCGCCTAGCACGACACTCTACAAGCGTTGGAGTTGGTGGCCTCGTACTCTGAAACAGAGCCGCGCCTGAAGCAAACCAGGGCGCCAAAGAAGGAAAGACATCCTGCACATGGCTGAAAGGCTGAGCTGCGAACGTATAGATCATGGAGTTCACGCTGGCAGTTCCTCCGATTTGGCAAGGAGTTGACAGAGTTGCATCAAGTCCTCAAATTGTGGAATCCTGCTGGGAAGGAACACCCTTCAGAGTCCTCCAACCCCTCTTCCTGTGGCATATTTCCAGGTCCTGCAAGGGTGCAGTCGCACGAGACTTCTCCGATCTGCCAATCAACCTTGCCCTCTTGCCCTCTTCTCAACCCTCTCAAAAACTGCATCAGAGGCCACGCCTTCCTTCCTTTCCAAGGCTCCAGTTCACCTCCACTGCTGGCCACCAAGCTTCTTGTCTTTGCGTTGCCCGGTCTGGGTGAGCTGCATCCTTGGTGTGTGCCAAACTTAGTGGTAGAAAAGCCGACAACCCCTATCAGCGCCTCAGAATCAGTCCAGGAGCCAGCCTGACAAGGGTGCACTTGGTTCAATTCTACAAGACCTGATCAGATTCGGAGCCATCGTCGCACTCAATGCATCAGAGACGGAACTCAAACCACTATTTGGCTTGACATGGTTCGACCACATTGGACCATGCAACAATCGCTGTGAATCTACAGGGTACTTCCTCTCGCATTAATGATGCCTCCATCAAATCTACCTAAACAGCGCTGCTATGCACTCTGCTTAGCTCTCTCCTCATTGCAACTGTGCGTGGATCTCCTTCTCACGTCGCGTCGCCTCTAGAACCAGCACCCGCCAAGGCCGCCCATCAGCCGTCGCTGCATCTGCCAGGCGAGAGGCCACCACACCTGAAAAGACTTGAAGGATTTGGTGTTGCATCAAACACAGATTGGAGGTATCTGAGTGGAAACCACTAGAAGCCTCAGGTCCAGCATGATTGCACTTGAGAAGTGCTACTCCTCTTGGCTTGCTTTCCTAATTCATCATCCAACTGACCCGGTTGAAAGTCAGCCTTGTCGCTGGCTGGGGTCTGGAAGCTAGGTTGTTGGAGGCCATCGCTACTAGGTTGGAGGCCATCGCTATTAGGTTCGAGGACATCGCTATATAATAATAGGTTGGAGGCCATCGCTAGTAGAAGCTTGCTGAGGATTTCACTTCCAGCAGAACCAGCACCCACAACAATGAAGTCATACTCTCCACCATCCTCGCAACCCGAAGTCTGCGGAGTTGACGAACATGGAGAACTGAATATAAGGTGGAACTAGCTGAATCGTGTTGATGCTGTAATACGGTTGATGGACAAAATCCTGCACCACTGCAAGAACAAACTCATGAATACCTTCCCGCTCACTCTTTAACATTGAGTTGAGGAAATGCGTCAAACAGAAAAAAGTTCAATGACGAAAATCTTGCATCACACATAACAATCATGAGACAACATTGAGTTTAGGGGCACAGGGGTCTGCGCTGTGTTGCTGCATTGATGCAGGATTTTGTCTATCAACAGTAGTTTGGGTTTATCCTATATATAACCAGTCACAGTGGATGATAATGTTTACTAAAGGCCTTGTTGAAAAATCCTTAGTGATAATTGTTTACCGACTGTTACAGGTAATAGGACAGACCCAAACAGTAGCACTCGTGGATACAAGGTGTTGACAAGCATAGATTGGCAACGTTCTCCAAATATCTGCAACCCCTTACTTGCTGGCCTCAAGGTCTTTGCTTGCCTTGATCTTCTCCCACCTTGCATCTTCCTCAGGCCTTACAATGGAAGAATCTTGTATGTTGCCTTGGCGAAGCAAAAATTGCCAAGGGACTTTCGAGGAAGCTTCTCCAAGCCGCAGCATCTGAGGTACGAGAACTCCTCAATTTCAGGTCTGCAACAATGATACAAACCATCATGATTAAGGGATTAGTTAAACTACAAAATAGATAGAGACTGGCCGCAATGGTTGCCAAAGGTCAAGGTCTTGCTGGAGAAAAATCCATATTATATATATAAATATATATATATGAAATATATCATATCTAGGAGCAAGAAGCTACTAGGGGCTCCTGGCCTTACTACTAGGAACAAGAAGCTAACTACTAGGAGCAAGAAGCTACTAGGGGCTCCTGGCCTTACTACTAGGAACAAAAAGCTACTAGGGGCTGGAGCCTAGGCCTATTCTAATAGTATTAATATTGTTCGTTCTCCGCAAAACAAGTTGTATCTCCTCGTTCCAGCAGGCTGGATTGCCTGTGAGACCCCACTGGTCACCACAGCAAAATTGCTCGTTGAATTCCTGAGTGTCTCATGAATGAGAGGGTCGAACGCAAACATCCGAAAAAAAGCAGCAGCCAAACATACAGCACGAGCCGAGACCGCGGTGTCACCGGTCAGCCGAGCACAATCCAAGCCGAGCAGCTTCAATCCAACACTCTGAGTCTGACCTCACCAGCTTGACTGGGACACAGTGGGATTCCTTGCACTCTTCACACGAGAACTTCCAGCTCAGTGGCGCACTGCGCACTGCTCACCTGAAGCTACACTGCTGCCGGAGCGAAGTTGAGAATCCATGCATCGGAGGCAGAACGTTTAGAATAAGTTTCTGGCAGTGAATCCTGCCACACAAGCCAGCAGCGTCGGAAGGCCCATTCTCTGATGTGCAACCCATCTCGCATCTGGATATGATAAGAGGCTGCTAAGATGAGTTTTGCCGCTTCTGATGATCAACATCAAACATGCACAATGTTGTCAAGCCGATGTTTGAGTGGTAGTGTGCTGTCCGATATCCATGTGACATGTGCATGCCATGCCGATAGGTCCAAGCTTAAATTAGTCTTGAGTCTTGAGAGTTCCTTTGTTGCATCCGTCTTTGTATCGTGACCTTGAGTTGGCGCCCGCTCGGGCAGGCTGTCAGACTTTCATCATGGGGTTCCTCGATTCAAAGCAGCTATAAAACAGCTATGGACAGGATTGCAGAAGTGTCGTCCAAACAAGTGGTTGCCAGGTTCACCAAAAACAAGAGGGGAAAGCAACGTCCGTTCAAAGGGGAGCTTATTACCTTCCTTGTTTCATACATGTGTTCTTCTTTTGTTCTCCGACTCATACAGTATGTATATACTTTATGCTATTTTGCTTTTGAGGTTGGCCATTGATCCTCTCGAGACTCTTGTCGGGGCTTCTCCTAGTGAAAGTTCAGGACGTAAACTACTTGCGCACAACTCAGCCTGCATCATGGCATATCCTTCTGGGAACACCACGTGTAGTTGGTTTGAGTAAGCAAACTTCTGCAGCTACATCATTTTTGCTGAAAAATCAGCATGTTTCTGGACCGTTCTATGCGCTGTCCAATAAGGTGCTAGGAAGTTCAAGATATATTTAACACAAATCAATACAATGCTGCCAATGCTCGTGAACACGATTTTTGCGAGAACGGCAAACCGGCAAACCGGCAAACCTTTGGGGCTACGCGGCACTACGCGTCTGGCAGCACCTCGTCGCCATTCACTCAGCACTTGGCGACCTGTGGCGTTTTTACGCCCACACACTGTTCCAGAGCTTTGTTGCCTCCCTCCGAACAGCTTAGGCACAAGTTGGAGCACCAAGACCCAAAGAGGCATTGCAGCTTGCAATGGTCATATCCATACTTGCCAGAACCCCCAAAGCATGTAACGCATGAAGAACTCATGCCGGTCTCTTTAGCGATGCAGCTGCTCATCTTGCCCTGATTGAAGCCACTCCAGAAGCTGTAGGCTGAATGGCCACAGTTTGCAACGATCTTTGGAAAGGTTCCATCTGCGTTTCCACCTCCAAGTTTCATCATGACTGCCTCATCATCTGCCGAACAAGAGCCGGTGGTCACGTTCGCTTTGGCCACCTGTGCAAGCGGCCACTCTAGGGGTAGGGTGAGGAAAAATCGCTTGGAGGACTTGCAGTCCACCAGGGCAACCAAGGATGGCAGTATCATTGGCTGCCACAAACAAGAACGTCTTCTTAACTACCCTAGCTCTTGGACTCACGATTCTTGTCATTTCGAGACACGATGGTTCAAGTGACCATCCCAACCTCAGAAGCCTCGTAAGGCCCTGCAGGCAGGCCTCCAGTTTCGCCTCCTCCTTCTGAGCCCGCAGTTGGTGTAGCTCCAAGCTGCAGGTCCCGGTGGTGCACTCGTCATCCGGGAGCTGCTCTGCCACACAAAGGGTCAACAGGCAGAGTCGCCAAAGAGCCTCAGAGTAGCTACAAACAAAACCAACTGAACATAGTGCATTGAGAAAGGACCGGAACTTAGCAATGGCGGGGAGGAGGTCTACTCCCTTCTATGCAAATGTTGGAGATCTCCAAATGTTGTGCTGAAAGGACGGGTTTGAGGGTCAGGAGGGTGAATACTAAACAACCATTGGTCTGGCTGGTGGCAGCCACTAATCCCAGTTATACCTCACATCACCAAACATCCGCATGCTGCACAGGCTCAAGTGGATGTGTTCTCCTATGCTTTCGTTTAGGGTCGTGGGCTACTCAGCTCCCAAATGATGAATTGTACAAGTTCAATCTTCGCAAGGCATCCCCTCTGAGATTGCGGCCATGGGCGCGTGGCAAAAACAAAAACACAAAAGTGATGCGAGAGTTTCTTGTCACCAAAATAGGCAAAGTGGGCTGCGGCAAAGGTGTTTTTGCAAATGAATGAGAAGCAACACGAGCAAAGGGGCCACTCGGTTGCAAAGGTTTGGCCAGGTTGCAGTTAGAAGACGCTTATAAAGTGTCTTTAAGTAATACTCTCTTACAGCATCTTGGAGAAGATGCCGTTAGGGTAAAATGGTATATAAAGAAAATGAAAGAGTGGACTTGCCACTTGCAGCATTGCACAATACCCAAACGACCAGCTGCGCCTCTTTTTTTAAACCAGCAACTGCGTCAAGTCTCGTCCACCAAAACGTGCTTTGTAGGCAGAAGCGTAAGCTGCCTGGATGTCTTTCACTGTGAAATTTAAGTAATCTGAGACAATGGCTTCGTCTGCAGCCGCAGAAGTATTGCAGAAGAAAAGCGAAGGGTCATCAGTATTAAGTCCAAACAGCAGCTGATGCTCCTTGAAGGAGTGGATTGCACGTAAAGCCCAGGCTCCATGCCGCAAAGCACTCTTTGGGCATGCTTCCAGATGAATTTGTCTTCTTCGCAGTTCGTGAACCAACTGGGCATCTTGAACCGCCGCGTACCCATGGCCCACACGATCAGCACGCATCAAGAACACAGCTGAATGCACGTCCTTCGACTGGGTCGTATTAAACTCTCCCGAGTGTACAGTTGTGTTGAGCCCAGAGTCCTTCGCATATCTCATGCAGTCCACATAAGCCGCATTGGGAAAGTCTGTCTCATCACCAGCCAGGTCCAGACCCACTACACCACCCATCTCCTTGCTCTGAAGCTTTAAAGCCAACTGGGCCATCTCAAAACACTGCTTTGGGCTTTTGCCCCGCATGGCACAAAGAATCTGATAAACCGAAACTCCATGACTGGCGGCACCAACTGCCAGACCTTCCTGGACCGCCCTCACTGCCTCCTCCTCTGTGGTGGAGGCATTTTGTAGTTGGCTTCGAGCGAGGCGCACCGGATCGTAGCGGACCTCTGTATACAGCACGCCAGACTTTGCCTGAAATGCAACAAAGGCCTCAGCCGCCAACCTGATGGATGCCAAATCCCCACCGATGATCTCGTTCACTGCATCGAATCTGTGCCAGCTACTGGAGCGTTCCACAAAGTGCTGGACCTCCTCCGCACTTCTGGGCACCCCAATACCAGGCAATTGAAGGCCGCGCGCCCTACAGATCTCGAAGAGAATATCAGAGCCGATGGCTCCATCAAGGTGGACGTGAAGCTCAACTCTGAAACCATGTATCAAAGGAAGAATCCAAAGAAGACTCCACAGCTTGCCGAGTGCCATTCTGAAGCTGGTGGGTCGGCACAAACCTATGTAGCTACATGAGCCGAGATGCTTGACAAAGCCCATGATCGCATGATGCAAATAATCTCCAGCCAATGAATCTTGCTGTCCAATGCTTGTGGGAAATAAGCAGAGCAGACTGCCACATACAGAAAGCATCGATTTTGACATCCTGTCTGAGGCTGCAAGAATTGTTCTCTAATTTGACAAAGAAATCCCCTGCGACATTATTAGTCATGTCTCTGGAAAAGAAATAGTCGGTCTCAATGGAATGGCATGCAAGCCAGAGTCGGAACAAGCACTCTGGACTGACAAATTCATGTCCACACCGCTCGTCTTACAATGGTCCATTTACATATTGACAACAAATACAACAAATTGAACAGGGCAAATCCCGACCTCATTCACGACATGTGTACAGCATTGAGAGCGTCTCCAATAAGGCGAAATGGACTCTCATGCAACTGACTGAAGTTCAGTATTAGAAGCCTTCATAAAATGAATCACTGCAGTCCTCACAATCTGCAGGTTCACGGCCTCAATGATTCTCAATGGCTGTTGACTGGCTTTTTATCTCAGCAAACTCAAGTGGCAGCCGCTGAGGGTCTCTGCGTTTGCTTTCGGGACTCAAGACTTCCCTTCCACGCTTTCGGCCCTTTACACCTGCACAACTTGATCAACCCAACTTACTAGCAGCGTCCTTGTTCCTAGTAGCGATGCCTGACCCACCCGCCTTTGCCACCCACCTTCTTGGATCTTGCGGCCATGTTCTTGTGTCGGATCATCAAAGCAGCGATGCCCTCTCTGAACTCCGCATCCTGGACTCTGGTTCTAGGATCCTTCCTCCTAAGAAAACAAACTCTATCTAATTTGAATGCAGTGTCTGGAACAGCAATCACAAACGAGATTAAGAAGTCTTCTTAGTGGGACCCCTTCCTCCACCTGCTCAATGGAGAGGTCACCTGCGCCATGAGCGTTCTAGGCACTTCATCTGTAAATATATATATATGTTGCATTCTGCATTTACCTATATACAACATAATCAAAGGTCTGACGGTGAGTCAGAGATGGTGCCTACTTGGCTCGCAGGCTGCGTCTCGGCTGCTTCATCCGCTGATCTGTTGGAGTCCTGTCTACTGTCTACAGCTTCAGTGGCCTGATCACCTGCTAACTAGGTTGACACATGAAAGGAAGCTCTGTAGCAATAGTCAAAGAGGCATGGCAGTGCGGTCTCGCAAAGACTCGCTATTTCCTAAACTGGTGAACAACTGGGGGCGTCAAACTGAGCAAAAAGCTAATTCACATCCGGAAAGCAGTAGGCAGTGCTGCTGTTTAGTCTTTCAACAAAACAATGGCCTTGATTAAGGCCCTGCAGGCAGCCCGGAGTTCTCGGTCTTCTGAGCGGCAAAGGATGTTGGCCTGCGTGTCTTTCTTTGATTTAATTTATGAAAAGATAAACATCCTTAGAACATTAGGTTTACCAAAGAGTCAAGTCCCAAGCCATGAAGGAGGCAACGAGCTGAGCATCATCTTCCTGGAAACTGGTCACTGCATCTTGACAAAACAAAAATGACATCCTCAAGCACCATGCTCCGTGCAAATCATTTCTTAAAATGTCCTTCTTATGATCAATGTGGAAACACCCAAGCAGCAGTTTGCTTTGCATCGCTAGATGCTGAATTCATCAGTTGCTGGAGGCTGACGCCTCACTAAAGGTGAGGATAGTGCAATCCCCCTCCTTCCGCTCTGGCAAGCTCACCGCATTCGGCCTGAATAACCGAGACTTCTGCATTCCGGGCCGGTGGTGCAATCCTAAGACACCCAAGATCGTGTTTTGATGCTGTCCTTTCACTTGGCAGCATCACGGTCACAGGATTGCCCAAGATGTCGGTTGCCAGTTGCCTCACACGAACGAACGAAAGGACACAGGATGTGGCGAAATGCAGATTCGAGGCCTGGTGTCATCCTTCCAGGACTCAACGGCCATGATGACCTCAAGACACGACAAGCACATGATGTTACCCATCCCTAGAAGAAGAGTATGAGTGCGTGGAGAGTAGTTAGCTGTGCGGACCTACAATCGTTAAATAAAAGGAACCTCAGAACCAAACCGCTTAAAGCTGCCAGCAAGTTCTCACAAGGATGGTCAGTATCTAGCCACAGCCTGTTGTCTTTGCGTTCTATGTTCGACCAGTCTAGCATCGAAACTGCCCGAAGTTCCCACTGAGGCCAGAGCTTGATTTGGAATCGGCAGCAGTTGTAAGCCGGAGCGAAGGGCAAAGGCTTGCTCTTCCTGGAAGAGAGCATAAGACCAGTTTGTTGAGCGGAAAAGAAGTTGCTCCTTAGGACACAGGATCACCAGGATGACGTGACAGCCTTCATCTTGCCCTGGGCTACTCCAACAGTCTGTGGGGGAGTCTCATTCGTGAGCGGGTGATGGATGGTCCCTCCGCTCACAAAGGCTCAAGAACCGAACTCAAGTTGAGGGGTGCATTGTTGTGTTCAACAGCAGCAGCAACAACATCATCATCGTTGTCGTCGGCATCATCGTCATCATCTTCCCAGCCTATGGCTTGCAGCTTCTCTGGCGTGATCTCTTGGGCGGTCAAGAGCCTGGGTCGAACGATCTAAGTCACAGTCTTCCGCGAGCCCTGTTTGCCAAGTCCGGCCAAGTTGCAAATACTGGCTTGGTACAGCTGTCTGGGAGGAGGTGCTCCCCAACACCTCGAAAGATGCAAGTACAGCATCGCAAGAAAGGGTGGGATGCTCGAGTTTCCAGTTTCCTGATCAAGGTCCCCCAAAGCATCACGTGATCCCAAGACATGTCCCTACCTTCACCCAATGAGACATCTGGGCCATCAAAGCCACACAAAGAGTTTCGCTGGCCTCGAAAGAATCTGGCACTCGACAGTACAACACTGACACTCATCGGGCACCTCTGAACACAGAAACATTGACGCCTTCACAGGCCTTGCAATTTCTTTGTGCAAGCTGAGTGCAATGATTTTTTTGCCAAAAATCTATATTATACATAAACAATGTTCGCTACTAGGAACAAGTGCATCGCTTCTAGTAACAAGTGCCTTACTAGTAGTAACAAGAAGCGAACGTAGAAACAATAGGAATCAGCCGGTGCAACTTCGAGCCCTTACATCATAGAAACAATAAGCTACTAGGAACAAGTGCCTCGCAAGTAGTAACAAGTGCCTTACTAGTAGTAACAAGAAGCTATTAGTCTAAATTAACTAATAGCTTCTTGTTACTACTAGTAAGGCACTTGTTACTACTAGCGAGGCACTTGTTACTATAGCCGGTGCAACTTCGAGCCCTTACGTCATATGTCCATGTCTTCTTGCTTTGGCTGCTTTTGTGTGAAGTCTGAGGTGCACACCACCACTACCAACCGGTAGTGGGAGGCGCTCAAACGCCACAATGCCGGCCTCAATAGGAAAGTATCCCACAAGCTTTTCCTGGTCAAAAGCTTGAACCTTTTGACTTGCATTTCAGGTTGGAAGTACCATGAAGCTGAAGCTGTAGGTGTTGTGTTCAAACGCCTTCACTATGGCACACCTGTCACCCTGTTTTGTGGGGTGCGAAGTAGCATGCCATGGCTTAGGGGGCCCTTCCCGCACATGAACCACACCTTGCAACCTTCCCTTCAGCGTATTCACAGTACTCATTGATCAGGGTAAAAATGTGTTTCTGTCGTTTACACACTTGCTTGCACTTCTGTTTGAGAGTGCGCAAAGGGGTCTCATTGTCGCTTGTAGACTTGCAGAAGATGGAGAATGCGTTGCTATAAGTTGATCAGCTACCAACATGCATGACTGTCTCACGGTGTCTGTACGGCTTAGGTTCCTCATTGGCTCGTTCTGTCACAGGGAATTTGAACTGCTGGCTGCGTGATACTGGTATGCCTTCATTCAAGACTTTATCAAAGCAACGTGCACTGTCATACCCTTGAGCGCTGGCTTAACTTACAGGGCTTGCTACCCGAAAACGCCGCTACCGGAAGCGTGGCTTTGGAGCCTTGGATTTCCACCATCTCTCGCTCACGTTCCAAAAACAGCATGGCACGCACGGGCGACGGATTCCGGATGGCTCGCCCTTCGGCCCAAGTTCTACCGGGTGGCAAAGTTGGTGCTTTTACGAAAAGGAAACAGTGAAGGGTTTGGATTTGGAGGTCCACTTCTGCGATGCGCTATCCAATTGAGATTACCTCTTGGATTCTATTTATGCATCGGTGCACAGTTTCTTTGCTTTTCTGTCCTTCGGTGCACAGTAAGACATTCTTTCACTTTACGTTGATTGTGTACACTAAGACCTAACCTGTGTACCCCAGATGTATTTCTGGAAGGGCTGTGGGGCGCGACAGACTGTTCGTAAGTTGGCTTTGGAAAAAGAGAAGCTGAGTGTGCCACAGAACTACTGCTTCCGGCCACATTGCTTTGGAGCCTTCGACCTGAACTGCAGGCCGCTCACTTCGGACTCAAGTTGATCCATGTGGGCAGTGTATGGCAGTGTATGGCGCCAATGGCGCCAATGGCTCCAAGCTTCCAGGCAGATACATCCTTGCCACATTGGATGGCATTCCATGCCACCTCTGCATCAGCGGAGTCCTTCAAAATCTGCCACTTAGCATCGAATGTCAGAATCCAGATGCTCTGGAAATTCCTGAAATACAAGGCTCCTCAATGGATATCCCCAAGGCTTTCAGAACCTGTCAGCTCGCGCAGGAACAAGCCAAAAGGGCGTTTGTCAGTTGCCTCAACCCGAGAGGACATGGTCTGCAGGCTGCAGGCTTGAAACTTGGTGAAATTGCTTCGAGCCGCCAGCTCGCGCATTGCTCGCATAAAATGCAAAATGCAAACAATCCAACAATCATGCAAAGCTAAAATATTGAACAAACACAATGGTCACGAGTCACAATGGTTACTTCTCTGGCAAGCTTCGGTTGCGGGGAGTTGCTATATGTTTTATCATGCAGGCCAGTGGCGCGGCATCATTCAGAGCCATGCATTTAGGTCTCTGCGATGTGGCAACCGCTTTTGGTTGCCAGCGAGGTGAGAATGGCCAGGGCAGGCTCAGCATAGTTCAGGATGGGGCAACAGGTGACGCCTTGGTATTGTAGCCCTCGGCCTCCTCCCTTGCCAACTTCGCCCAGCTGGGTTCTTGCCACTGAACCTGCAGCTCCAGTGCTTTGGCCCTAAAGTTGGGCTGCATGACAATTACGAACGACTGTGGTCATGTGATCTTTCCGGATAGTGATAGCACTTGGACATTCCCCTGATAGTGAGAGCGCTTCGATCCCAAAAGCACTGCCGTCCGTGTCATGACACGTGGATCCAGCTTGACTCGCCAAAAGCATCACCCGTCTCCTGCCTTGAGGTCCTTCCGAAAGACCGGAAGACCCTGCGTGAGCATCGTCTCTCCAAGCTGCCCGAACTCGTTACTGGCCGACAAGGAAGCCGGACATGGAAAAAGAACTCAGAGGCATGTCATGTTCATGACGCTGTTGAGGAAGAAAACGGAATTGGACAGAAGTTTTTGGAATTTGACGGCTTGTATAAAGAACTGGATGTGAAGATATGTTATGTTTGTTCCAGCTATTTTCCCGGACAAAAAGGATCCGGGATGCACACTGGAATTTTACCATGTGTTTGAAGGGATGTCAAAACTAGGATGATCCGTTATAATCAGTTCCATCTGTTCAATGATTTTTTGCCAAACGACGGCCATTGGAAAACCACAGCCGCACCGCGCACACCTGTACAGTTTGAGCTCGCGGAGCTTTGGGGCGGCTCCGCTGGCCAGAGCGGCCACTAAGGCCTCACTGTTCTGAATGCGATCAGGTGGAAAACAAGAAGTCTTGGAGTCGAGGTGTGCAGAAGTAGTTGGTTGTAGGTCCCAACACGTTCTATATCATTGCATGCAAAGCAGAAACAGCAAAGTTGTAAAGAGCTAGGGACTAGGGGCCTCAAATTAGGGAGCTTTACCGTTGCCCATTTACTCACTCCAACAAAACCCAGAGAAATGCACTTGCATGCCCCCATCTCATTGATGTTTGTTTTTGGGCCAGGAGAAGCAAGACCTTCTCTGCTTTACAAAAGCTCGAAAACCAAATGGTCCTGATATATAGATTCGGCTAATCAGCGGCAAATCAACGTACAATCCAACCTGCACGCCGGTGTCTTTGATCGAATTGTGCGAAAGATCCAACTCTGTGACATCCTCGCGACGCGGATCTGGACACCACGCGGATGTCGTGGAACTGGTCAACGACCTAATCTGCGTGGAAAACCATTTTGCGTGAAACTCCAAACAAATCAAACCCTTTATGTAAGCCTAAGCTTGGTAAGCATGTCCATTGGTCCATGCTCCTGCGTTTGAAAGTGAAGACCTTGTATGGATGAACAAATGCTTTGTCAACCCTGGACAGTTGTGAAATCCTGCAGTGGCTTGCAAGCATGGATCAGCTTATCAGTTTTGAGGAGCGATGCAAAACAATGGTTAACAACATGTTCTGCAAGCCCGTGCTCACATCAAAGAGCGAAAAACCTCATGTTCTTCAGCTCCTCATTGTTCTTCAGCTTTTCGATAACCTCCTCCAAATCTTCATCAGTTGCCTTCAATCACATCTTGTCGAATTGATCATGAGGTGCCAGCTGCAAGTGTAACTCAGGTCGTAGCTTGTAAGAAGCTGAAGCGCATCGATGTCACTCCTTCATGGATCTTAGGTGCATGTCCAAATGCTGAGAAGGCCAAAGGCATTGTATCTATTGGCAACACATACTTTCCAGATCCCAAAGCCACCCACCAACCCTTCCCTCACCATAGAACCTGAAGAGACCTATTTGCCAGAGACTTGCAGTGCCTGGCGCTAGAGCCTCATGCCAACGATTGCAATTCCTCACCATATCTTTGTGGATGTCCTCAGGGAGAAGGGAGAGACAGACAGGTGAGATAGCAAAAGACAAGGAGAGCCTCAATCTGGTCTTGGGCGAAAACCGTGTGCATGTTTCTGTGCGAAACCATCAAGCGTCAAAATAGTTTCGGACCCCGGTCCGACTTGTGGTTGGAAGTCTCCATCTCCTCCAAAGTACAGCCCGGAGAATTGTACTGGCAGTCCTACACAATGCGATCATGACACATTCAAATTCCAATTGACAAAGCTTCACCTGGCCTGACCCAAGTCGTCTTCCCGTTGGATAAACTTGGATGATAGGAAAACAGGCATCGGTCCTTTGGCCACTCCTTTGTGTACCATGGCGGTCTTTCTAAACCGTTGTTCTCTTTTGCACCGCGGTTCATGCCAGCATTGAGATCCTCGTGGTTGTCACAATGGTGACTCTCTGTCATTGTTAGCCTTTGCAAAAGCAACAAGGTTGTCTTGTGAGTGTAGCAGCAGTTTGAGGACAAGCATTGCTTACACATCACGTCCTCGTTCATCTTGTGTTCCGCATGGGCCTGTTGCAAGCGCTTATGACTAGATAGTCTTCAAAGTTCAAAGCCCATGTTCATTTATATCGATGCCTAACAAGAACAAAGTTCCAAGGCAGTGCAGTACCTTGTGAGTGTTGGGATCCACTTTGCCCTCGGAAGACCCTTCAGGTCCATACAACGGCTTCTCTTTGGCCTTGCCATCAAGAACATCTTCGCTCATGAAAGAGCCACAGCCAGAAAGACATGCAGCGTCTTTACATGTAAAAAAAATTCTGTCAAAGGGCTTTCTCAAGGAAGCCCTTGCTCAGCGTGGGTTTCTCCTGCACTGCAGGACTTTCAGGATTTGTATCAAAAGGTACAGACGAAGAAACCTAGTGTAGACTTTGGACAAAAACATGTTGAGGCTCAATGAGATTCGTTAGAAAGCCGTCCTCCACAATGGGCTCGACCACCTTGGGCTGCACCGGAGGCTCAACCTGAGTGAAACTCAACGCGAACCAAGTGACAACCAACAATACCGCCACCAGTCATTCAAGCTAAATGTTTAAAACCAAGCAGGAAATCACAATGATTATTGTCCAAGTACAGGACCACTTCTTCAATAAGCACCATGGCTAAACCTAAAGCTACCTGATGTCTTGAAAGGGTTGTCCTTTTTCATGAATACAGTCTAGAGTCTAGAGGCTGTGGAGCCTTGTTTGATTTGGCAGGGATTCGGAAAAATACTTCAGAAATCAGAAGCTGGTCATGAATGCTAAAGAGGCTAGTCTGCTTAATCCAGTATTCAGATCAATGTTGATGTCACCTGTGATGATAAGCTGAAATACAAAGCTTCGTGGACAGCGACACTATATACCCCATCAATCATCCACACCAATTCTTCCTCGCGCAGGGCCCATCCAAAAGGCTGGAATTTGGTACAGTTTACTGCTGAGAGCACTGTGTGTGTGGATGTGTGGGTGTGTGGGTGTGCGTGCGTGTAGCGACTATAATTGCAAGAACTGCCGTGGTGTTCTTCTTACAATGATCATGAACGATGGCCAAGGCCATCGTTCAAATCACTTTATCAACTTCGAATTGTCTCAAATTCCTGCTGTTGGTCGGTTGATAGAGGCTGTTGAGGAAATGTTAGAAGCCCATAAATTAAATAGCCTGGGTGCGACTACCCAGAAGTTTCCCTATGTGTGGCTTTGACTCAGTTGAATGGTCCATTTGCACCGTGTCCCTGAAAACGACGCTGCAGGCTCTCGCCTTTTTGGCCAAAAAGCCAATATCCATCGCACCTCAAAGCACAAGATTGCGGAGTCTGTACAAACCCACGCATGTTTAGTGTTTGAGAAAGGCTTCCCGACTCAGCCCATCATGCTCTACAAGAGCCGGAAGGAAAAATTGTAGACACAGTGGTCTCATTGAGGCAGCGAAGTTTCAATATGCTGGGTACGGAAAAAGATTTCCCGCTGACTAGCCAGCATTGTCCTATGTACAAAACGCTACTGCAAGTATGAATTCTGTGCTGTACAGAGTTTCCAAACACAGTCCTATGGTAAACAGGCATGCGCGGCCCGATGAAAACTTCTACATTACTACATGGACTACATGCCTAGCCCTCGGCTATTTGCCAGTGCAAAGGCATTGACTTTCTGTACTCAAGGCAGACTGAACCTGGCGATCCAATCGAAAAATAGGGCATTTGTGCTGATCGATGGCTTTGCTCATGTTCTTCAGGGCTGGGCCATGCTAGGTTCCGCTCTGCGCTGAGCTCGGTGGTCTGGTGTACAGGCATTGCCACCCCACGTGCAGGGCAGTCGGCAGCCTGGCAAGCTTCTACATGGGTGCAGCCTTATGCATGGACGATTTTGACATCAAACAGAATCTAGAACCGAAAAGTTCATGTACTCTTGCTGCCAAGAAGCTTAAGGGACAGCTGTCCCTTCAAAAGGAATGTCAGACATGACCTGGGGCAAAATGATTTGTCCCACTTGGGGGTAGGATCAGCGGTAGCAAAGTTTGAGCGTCTACAAGAGCGGAGGACGTGAAGTTGCCGTTGCAAATCCCCCTCTGACAAGCCTAAGCCTCCGAAGTCGACCTTTGGCACAACACAAAGATTCGACGCATCTATATTTCACCAAGATACCGCTGCAAAAGGCAATGGGGGTTCATCCACCTGCTGCGGGTGCATCGGAAACTCTAGAGTAGCCAAGCAGTCCGGCCCGCGGAGGGTAGTGAGAGGATGTGAGAGGTATTCTAGACTGAACAGCCATGGTCTTGGTTCTGCAGTCTAGCTGTGGGCATGATGATTTCGAAACGCAACATCCACTTTTGAACATGCTGGTGTGCTCCTCATTCGAGTAAAGGACTCTAATCCCGAGTACCTATTTAAAACACTACTCAGTGAAACAACAAAACTCACGTCCGAGACCCCTAAATACACTTTTATTTTGAATCACCGCCTTCTTTTTGTATGACTAAACTCCACACAAGGCTTCTTTCGATGGATGTTTTTCATTTGGGGCCCACCTACTCGAATCACCACCCCGTGCCCTTTACTAGCGACACGCCACATCTACACACGCATGTGCACCCTTCCCCAATGGCACGGAGCCACCAAACTCGCTTTAGACGGAGACCTTACAAACCGCATGGCACAGCGTCATCACCTTTGGAAATCTCTAGTTCTTAGTCTGATGGAAATTTCACAAGCGAAGAATATCGATTGATCACTATGTTGATAAAAGGCGTGTGCAAAGGGAAAAGGAAGACCCTTCGATCTGAAAATTTTTAGATGTTTGATACGAGTTTAATGAGGGGTTTTATATAAGCTTTCCTTGGCGACTTTTCGGGTTTGAGTTGCTTTGAAGCTCTTCCCAGGTTTCCATCTTTGCGAGTCCCTAGCAAGAACAACGGCGCCAGAGTGTTTTCATTAGGGAGGAGGGGGGGGCCCATGGTTTTCTATTGCCCTTCAATGCAGCAGCAGCAGCAGCGGCCGCGACGACGGCGACAACAATGACAAGTGACATATATAACCCTTTATAATAATCTGGTTGTGGTAGAGGATTGTGTAATGATCTAGTTGTGGCAAAGGACACCAGCCTATGACTCCAAATACCTCTCTAAGAATGTGCATGAGTCGTTCTAATCCCTCAAAACCTGGAGTGTTTGCTTTCTGGATGATGCTCGGATTCTACATGAATGGTTTGACATGCAGCAGCCGCTAGAAACAGCACCAGCCTCACTGTCATCATCCAGCCCATCAAGCTTGATTTCGTCGACGAGGTCAAGAGCAGGCCTTGTGTCCGTAGGGGTTTGCTTCAGGGCCAAGATCTCGTGGCAACATGCAAAATGTATAATTGAGGCGGCCACATATCCGGGGAGCATTGAGTAGAAACCTGCAGCGGCATACAAAAGCAGCCCACAAACATGATGTCGACATACTTCGACTATTTCAAACCCGTGGAACACCACAAATTTGAGTGATCAAGCTAGGATTCACACTGCTGCGGACGAAATCCCATGCTCAGCGGAAGATCCCAGACTAGGAAACTTTGGCAGTACCTCAACAAATGAAAGGCTACAGTCATGACTTCTTGCAATGCAAAATACTGGAGCAGTTGGTAGCAAGATGTAGTGGGTCTATGGCAACAGTCCAACTAAAATCATCAAAATTCAAGACCCATTCTCTGAAGGCTCTTGGATTGGGTGCATTCGTACGCTACCGTGGGTAGTGCGCTATTGCGCATCCACCCATTGTATTTTCAAACTGCACCGCTAAATCAACTCCCTTTTGGTTGGGTTCCTCTACTTGTTTCGTTGAGTCGCCTGTTTATATTATTAGTCGTGTCGATATGTGCTACAGCTGACCATTCTGGGAAAATTGTGCAAACGTCGCGAAGCGCTCGAATCGCCGGCATGCCACCGGGATGGTCATGGGAGAGGTCAAAGGAGATGCAGTCTTCAGCTCCCGCAAGTGCTCCCGCCTCGGGATGACTTGTTCTTAGCCCGCTCCTACTGAATTAAGTAGGCGCCTACTTAATTAATTAAGGAGGTAAGCTACTAGGCTAGGTTAGCTTCTAGGTAGGCACCAGGACATTGATAATATGAATATGCGAATCATGCATAATTGCATTTAGTCGTTCGTTCGCTTGTACCAGACTCTGCAGCAAAGGCGAGGTCCCCGCTGCTCCTTGAATGTATCCGTGGCTTCCTCATACTCCGAGCGTAGGTACAAGCAAACCTTACAACTGGAGTTTGGGTGCTGATCTGCCACACTCATCAAGCAACTCTCACGGACATCACACCGCAAGTTGCTGGGCTTCTGTAAGTAAGTGCTAGGCCGTTTGTTTCAGCTCTGCCAATCGAGATTCGCTTGGAACCTCCGCCAAGCTCTGATCCCACTCTGATCCCTCTCTCTCTCTATCTCTCCCTTTTGTTGTCCATTGGAAGGCACCTCCATGGCCTCCAACTGCTCGGTGCAGTTGGCCAAGGAGGACAAAAGCAACTCAATGGATGCCTAGACGGTTGGCATATTTTGTTCGCATTGGTTCCCTGATTTCTGCTGACTAGTACTCCATAATAAAAGATCCCTCCTCAAATCAGGGCCGCTACAGAAGTTGAATAGAAACACGAGTAGGAATAAAACAAACGAAACATCGTGGACTGCTGGACGTTTTTGGAATCTAATCTGGTTGTTGATTTGTTACCTCAGTGCAGCTTGACAGTCTCCACAGACTTATATAAAATTAGGGCACCTCGAGTTCAGGCAGCAGCATCCGCAGCTCCAATGGCGGGGCGCGGCTTGAAAACGTGGCACTAAACTGCCGAAGCCTGGGTCGGGCAGATCTGGGCGCCGATATCTTTCCGCAAAGTGCACAACTAGTTCCCTTTGCACAACATCCAACTCCTTGAGCATGGGCGTTGGTATTGTACCAACTGGGTACCAAGTTACAAGTTCAGCCCAAATAAAAGCCGGCTAAAACCCTTGTCTATACGATCAACCAGCCCTGGAAACTCAAGGTCAGACTCTAGGCGTCCCTGAGTCGAGGAGCCCATTGTGCTGTGCCAAGCGAGATGCCAGCCTCGAACAATGTCATGGCCAAAACCGGGAGAAGACCCAGATCTTGTGAAGGCTATGGAAGCGGTTGAAAGTGAAAATCTGGCTCATAGACATACTGGATTGCAACCAAGTTCATCACGATGCAATGTCTTGAGAAGCTTGCGAATAGTGCTGGGAGAGCCTCAAACGCAGAGCACTAAGCTGAACAATGGGTGAAAGTGCAGTCGGCCCGACAAGCTCCGTGCATTTGACCCTTTTCAGCTGCAGTCTGTCGGCAAAACTGCGGGATGATTTGATACAAAGATATTTAAAGTCAAAGTTGTTCCATTATTGTTTCTCTGTAGCAGACTACTGCAAATGCTTCAGAGCTGAAACTGCCATGCCAAAAAGCTGCATGAGCACACCTGATCATGCTGCCGGCGCGATTTCTGCATGCCCTGGGCCAAAGGACTCAATACAAAGGGTCAAGATCTACTGATCGCTTGAGGACGCAGCCGCAGCCCTGATCTTCTCCAGCTGGCTCGTTCTGTCCTGAGACTTTCGGGGCAGTAGAAATTCCCTCCAAGCTGGCCTGTCTTCAGCCTGGCTGTGCCAAGTGCAATGTGGCGTGCCTAGCTGAGACAACGGCTCGTCGAATCCCACCACCTTGAATTTCCAGTGGCAGGTGCCTGATACATGAACTGGCTGCGATCAATGCTTGTCATATTGATCATCAAACCAAGTCTGAGGCCTTCTTGGTGAGGCTGGGTCACTTTCCTGCAAGCTGGGGGTGGCTTCAGGTAATTTCATCATTGGGCGGGACATAATAACACAAGGTGGGCATTGGAAAGATCAAATAGGGTGAAGTCTGTTGATGCAATTCTGTGTATGGATGATCCTGCCCAAATCAGAAGAATGCTTTGCGGCTGCACTCCATGTACCGGCCTTGGGTTTTCGGTGCTTGCCCAGCCGCCCTGCCAGTGTTCAGCAACTGCCCAGAAGGCCACACGAAAGGAGAAAGTCCCAAGACTGACGACTGAAAGTTGCTTGACCTCAAACCGAAGCTCATCTATGGGCCCTCACAGACATCGAGTGCATTTTCTGGCACCTTTGCGGGTTTCGCTTATCATGCACTCCCACATGGCTGCGACTGTTTCGGGCAAAGGCTTGTAGAATGAGGCATTGAAGGAAAAAATTGTTGTATGTTTGAGAATTCATCATTGAAACTGAAACAATGATGTTGTCATAGGTGCGATTGTAATCTGTCTGTCTGTCTCTGACAATCAAAACAATAAGAACACCTCAAGTGCAGTTATTTCTGATCCAACTGCAGCAACTTTCTTCCAAACCAAGCATGCTGCAACAAGGGACCTAGAAGGCCACTCTGAGGGGCCTTCTAGGCTGGCCATCATGACTGTGGGGTTCACCAGCCCAGCATGGCGGTGCTTTTTTGACCTCGCTTGTGGAGTGCGACAGACCATGCGCGGATGCGCTGCCATGTGGCTTTTAAAGTTGGAGCTCACGTGGCCAGGCTTGCTTCCATGAAGGGCTTCAACGACCTTATGTCATCAGCATACACTGGTGGAAAAACTCATTGTGCTGGTGAGGGAGCCTTATCCGCCCTTTCGTGGAGGGCACAGTATTGGGTTCCAAGTAAGGAACTACGGTTTTGCTTGTCAGGTTCCACCATTACCCCTAAAGTACCTGCTGCATGCCAACCTGTCTTCCAAGCTGCAAATAGATTGCATCTGATCGTCTATCCTGCACAACCACAGTGAAACTTGCTATTTTTCTTCCAAAGCACAGCCCACCTTCGCCACAAGGTCGGGAAAGCCAGTTCCATCAAATTCATGTAGGCAGCCCTTTGCCTCTTGATCAACAAGTGAGCCATCCATGAATATCTGCACTGACATGGAGCATGAGCCTTGTAAAAGTCTAGCAACGGGCGCGTCTGCTTGTCATACTCCTACACGCAGGTACTAAAGGAATGAACCAACAAGACTGCCCATCCATGACACATCAAATCAGATTTCCAAAAACGGAGAACTCTCCACAAAGTCCATTTCACTGTACCATGACAGTCGGTGTATTGAAATGCGAGTTGATGGTTCACATCTATTCATTGGTCGCTCCTGCAGTCTAGCTCGAACAGCTTCTGGCTTGTCGTCATCTCGCTGCACCAGTGGCTCACCAGTGACATCATCTTGTCCTTCAACCTGCAAACTACAAAATGTAGCCCGCTGGGGTAGAAACTGCAAAAGTCAACAACTCGATCACTTTGCAAGAGAACCCTCTGCCTTGGGCGGGTTGTAGTCATATGCATAAGTACGACCTGATGGGGAGTGAATCCTCAGCGCAATGTGCAAGTTAAGGAAAATACAATTGCTGTGTCACGTCCATCATGAACTCTCGTAACTCTCGTACATGCTCAACAGTACTGACATGCGGATGTTGTGTGTTCAGCAAAAGGAGATGAGGGTCAAACCTTCTAAGGGTTCCGAACATGTATGGACAGGGTGCTCCAATTAATTCAATTAAACTGCCTTCATTGGGCAAAAGCAGTGCTGTGGCCCAGGCCAGCGGCTGCTGATTCTTCTCACCTTTTCAAACATGAAAAGCTGGGAGTCAAACTCCCCGCGGCGTCCGATTCTTCTGTCGTGACATAAGGTCGTAATATGTCGTAATACAGCTCTACTGTAATTACGTTTCAAGCTCACCATGCGTTCAATGGTTTGGAACATCCTTCAAGTCAAGACACAAGTTGATTCTGCAGAGACTCATTTAACCTAAAATCTGAGGGGTGTGACAGCATTCTCTATCATCAGTGTGGGTACGAAGGTAAAGCTACAGCCACCTGTACAGCTCTAAGAATTCCACAATTTCCTCATTGGGAAGGCTCAAGTTGATGGCAATGTCCTGGGCAAAGCTTGTTTGTATTTCAGAACTCAGAACTCAATACAGAAACAGAACTCAGAACCCTGAACCCTGGCATGTCTTTTTCTCTTGGGCTTCAACCACGTGGCATTCCTTGTCGAGGGCCGTCGCCTACAAGCACAAACACAAAATCCGAACACATAAGGGGTAGTTAAGGCTACAAGCAAGTACTTTGGGGAAAGCTGAGTCCAAGACCTAATGTCTTCTAGTTGCACTGAGTACAACTGGTCAAAAAGTCAACACTGGCGCAGCGCCCTTGTCTCAAGTCGGGTCTGGCCTGCACGCTGGTTCTAGGAAAGCCGTCCAGGAGCACACGAGAAGAGGTGAGTTTTGAGACCTGTGAAACAAAGAATTCTGAATAGTTGGAACAGGGCACGTTTTTAGGTCAAAACTTTATCATGTGGCTTAGTCGAGAATTGTTGAGGATTCTCGATGCTTCTTGAATGATGGTCGCTTGTTGCAGAAACAAAAGCAGTGAGACGGATCCCATAGTCAAAAGTTAAGAGCATCCTTGCGGCCTCGTTCATAAACATCTCAAGCACGAGGTCATCCGGCACAAGCGTGCCAGATTCCATGTACGTTCTAGCCTGCAAAGGGAAAAATGCCGGCAGGGAAACTCCTGCAAATATAGATTGACTCATATAAACATAGATTAGTTGTGTTTTAGGTATGCACGCGCTGACTGGATTCGATATGTGATGTATTCTTTTAATATGTTTAATGTTTAAACAAAAAGAAACATCAATAGCATTCCTTTTGAGGCCATCAGTTGGATCCGCCACCTACTCCTCATTTGATTCTGCCTGGATGCCGTGAGGTGTTCCCACGCGCACCTGACAGTGACTCTTTAACGAACTCTGCAATTGGCAATACACAAGTCTACTGATTCATTATATCTCTTCTTGTCCCTCCCTTTCTTCCTGTAGACCTTTAGACCTGTCTTTCTGTGCTTCTCTGTCCTTCTTGGAAACTTCAATTCGTCTTCTGAGCATCGTCCCCACAATATGATTGTTGTTCTGAATCCCTATGGAACGGCCTTTCCTTGTGAATAAGACAGTGATGTCAATTGTTCGCCAACTAGTCTGGCCCTTACGCATACAGGTACATTGCATGCAATGGCAGCTTAGTCATGTTCTTGTGCTGGTGCTTGAATCTGTGGTTGGCGTGATTACACTGACACGGGCGAGTCTCTTATTTCAGCCATGTCCGAACAACATGTGAACAAAGGTCTTTCAAGGCACCTTTCAGGTTCGCCCACCCAGTGTCAAACGTTCGCAAAAGAAATTTAAAAAAGATACGATTTCATGATGTTCATGGCCCACGACTGCACAGTAAACAACTTGGTATACAGAGAGACAATCAAAGCTCCTCATAAGTACCATATTCCAAAGTGAGATCACCAGTTCAATAGGATATGGCGAGCAAAAGTTATATACTCTCGCAAATTCTGCAAGATTTGTGGGACGAAAGGCTACCATTGAAGAAAGTTCTCACAGGGACCTTTTGCGCACTGGCCATATTGACCAAAGGCCTGATGCCGTAGCAAATCGCCCGCTGATACGTGATGGAAGTGGAAATCCTGGAACAACGAATGAAGTATTAAGTCTCCCAAACAATCCAAAAACCAAATGCATAAGTTTCCTGCGTCCTGCTACTATATAGTAGTTGCATTTAGCGTAGCAGTGGCCTACCCCCCAAAAAAAGGGCTATGGCAATCAGATGTAATTAAATGTGTTCCTTGCCTTGATCAGCTTTTTGCTGATTGTCCCTTTGCCACCTCACTCCACACGAAATGGCATTGGCAGTTCATGCCAGTAGTAAGAAAGAAAAAGTATGGAATCACAACTGGGCAAAGAGCTGTGGAATCGCAACTCAACTTTGAAAGCAAGTCGATGTTTCTTGCATACAGCTTTGAGGCCAGGAATTATGTACCACTCTGAAATGTTCCGACTTCCCTCATAGCCCTATTGGAGACAGGAGTGAAGCTTTGAGCACCGAGCCTGCTTCAAACAAGACTCATTCAATCAAGGACCCAGCCACCAGGAGGCCCCATAATGAGAGTTGTCTTGCAACGAGCCTTAGAATCTTCACTTCCCCAGAAAACTCTGTTACATGAGCTGATCATGAGCTGAAGCCGTTGAGCCTCTGAGCTCAGGGCAAAGGCTCGACGCAACACCTGCCATGCCCAGCGTGGGACAATGCCAAAAAATTCAACCACATTTTAAAAGTAATTATTGTAATTACCTGACAGCATCGCCTGATCAAGCTTGCAAATTTGGCTAGCCATGTCTGAGAGCCGCGTGGCTTGCAGCAGTCTTGGATTGGTGGCTTGGCACTTGAGACAAGGATCTGGGCTTTCCTGTGGCAATCTTGGCTTTCCCGTTTCCCTTGGCAACTCCTTTGACCTTTTTTGCCCAGAGCGATCATGTCAATCGATTCAAGGCAGATTTGACCGATAGAACCACTGGCTGCAGAGCTCAAAACCTTCGGTGAGTGTGTAGAGCTCTGGTGCCAAGGTCCAAAGGCTAAGCAGCTGAGCTACGCTAGGCTGGTAAGTTGATTGTTATGTTGTTGCTTTGTTTTGATTGTCTGACCACTTCGTTGCCCTTCTGTCTTTGCTCGTTTGGGCTGCTTGGATTGGTCACCAAAAGCTTGACCCAGCTGCAGCATCGGCGGTCCGCTTAAGCCTAATTTAATCAGCCACCTTTGAGTCAAAGAGTTCAGGCCGATGGTCTCGCCGGATGTAAAACAGCACATAGGCCCCAACCTGCAGTGGTGAGTGGAATAGTTCATTCACAGTGCCGATCTTGAACAGCCAACTTGCCTTGTCAGAGGCAACTTCTTCCTCTGTACAGCCCCGAACTGTGCTGTCATCGAAGTGGTACCACCTGAAGACAGACAGCCCCCCGAATAACATGAGTCACTACTGCAGCATGAGCATGACAAACACCAACTGTTCAACACATCCGAAAGCAACATGCTGGGTGGACTCTCCATCAATGGAGGAACGTGAGAACGCCACGTAGTGTCCTACGTTGAGCGCATGTCAGGATGAGTTTTTTCTCTGAATATGTTCTTTGTCAACACTGCTTACTGAATCTTTGAAGCAAAGCAGCAAATGTTTCCTTAGTTTGCCAGTTGTACTGATTTGTAGATACGAGTACCTTTGGGTTGTTCATGGTTCTGTGCCTTTTTCTTTCCTCATATGCTTCTCTCTCTCTATATATATATATACACTTTTGACAAATGTTTCAGCAAGGCATTTGCTGCGGCACTGCCTCCACTGAGTGAGCCGATGTGCTTCGAAACAGCTGCAAGATCATACACCTGACAAACCAAGTGAACGCACACAGCCAACGCCAGCAGTGCTCAAAAGATTCCAAAGCAGCCAGCGCTGAGCTCACCACAGGGGTGACTTTGGATGTCTTCCTTGAGGATGCCTCAACTTCTCATCGATGAAAGGTCATTTCACAACGAGGTCCAAATTACAGAGGAGAACCCCACCGTGCAGTAAGGTGTGAGGTCCAAGTTCTCGAGAGGGAATGCAACTGCATTGTCGAGGCGCTCTCGAGACCTGAAAGTCAGAAGTCGAAGCCAAAAGTAAACAAAAGGTTTGTCACACCGCTTGTGCACTTGTTGAGGCAGAAGCCAGCGGGTGTATTGAAATCTTTTCAGCTGTAGGACTAAAACTGGAGGACAATGATGAAACCTTAGGCATGCTGCCAATGCGCACACCGTAGGTTGGAGGCCATTGCTAGCAGGTTGAAAGCCATCGCTAGTAGGGGGAGGCCATTGCTTTTAGGTTGGAGGCCATCGCCATCGCTAGTAGGTGGGAGGCCATCGCTAGTAGGTTGGAGGCCTCGCGAGGTTGGAGGCCATTGCTCCTGGGTTGGAGGCCATCGCTAGTAGGTTGGAGGCCATCGCTAGTAGGTTGGAGGCCATCGCTACTGGGTTGGAGGCCATCGCTACTAGGTTGGAGGCCATCGCTAGTAGGTTGGAGGCCATCGCTAGGTTGGAGGCCATTGCTTTTAGTTTAGAATGAGGTCTTGGCTCCAGCTTCTTCAAGGCCTCTTTGTGCCTGTCGGGTGTGAACAGTCGCAACAGCACTTGCCATTCCACTCATTGCAGCACCAAGGCGTGCGCTCTTTGCATCGGTTGCAGTACCATGCATCTTCAGAGCTGAGCTTCTCTTCCTGACAGTCTGACCCTCGCGCAAGCTGCTGCGTGCTCTGGGATCTGACGGGCTGGCCTGCACAAACATCTGCAGCAAGTGGGTCAGGTCGACTTCATCTGACAGCATCAAGCAACAGGAGGTTCAAAGCAGCAGAAGACAGCATGACTTGGAGACTTGAAAAAGAAAAAAGGAAGGGAAAGAGTCCCGTAACCTTCTTTTTCCTTTTCTTTCTTTCCAATCTCTCGTAAGCAAAGCAAGTCAGATAAGTCAGACAGCACTTGGAGACTTGCCAGCCGTTGCGCTGCACTTGGAAGACCATGGCTCCTTGCTCTGTCTTTGTCCAAAGGCTTCTGCCAAAAACCCCGTGAAATGGCTCTCCTGCAGCAGCGTTTCCGGCAAGTCATTGTCCTGTCACAGGGTCAGGTGCGGATGATGGCAGAAAAATTGTTGCGCCAATGTCTCTTTTAGCCATCCGCCTGCCATTCGATAACAAACTGTAATCTGGACTCCTCACATGGAAGCACCACAGTCAGTCTGGTGAGGAGAATCACGTGGCTTCCTCCTTCTCATTCTTTCTTCCATCAAAAGAGAAACACTTTCCTTCAAACGCTGTCCTTGTTGACTGGCTGGAGCCGTTGATCGCTCTCGCGGTCCAGCTGAGGGTCATCGTTGATGTATGAGTACTTGTTGTTGTCTCTGAAGATCTTCCAATCCACGGCCTGAAAAGGACTTCAAATAAATCGTTCTTTGTTGACTGAAGACACAACAAAATTGAGATTTCATGTCATAGATGGTCATAGGTTTTCAGCAAACCCTGTGATTATGCAACCTGCAACATTTGGAGACTTAAAACCAATCAGTGATCACTATGGGTTTTCTCGCGTGACTATCACTATCACTGTTACTGTCACAGCGTCTCTGCGATCAACTGTCACTAGCCATGGTGAATACTATTCTCCTCCCTGACTGAGGATATCACGACATCTAGATCGTAGAGTCGTTTGAGATTCTGTTCAACCTGACAACACAAGATTGAACAGGGAAAATGCAGCCTCGCAACTTGTGAGTCTCTAAGCAAAAAATGAATATTCACAAAGGAACGAGGGGAACAAGGGCAGCGGCGGCAACAACGACAAAACAACAAAGCCTGTTTGTACAGCATCTGGACAGTTGCCTGGGACGAGCATGAAAGATTGTCAACTTTTTGGCATCAGGGGTCGAAGAGATCAATTTCTCAAGGGGCAAGCATCCTTCGAAATGGTCATGAGCAACGGAACACCTGGGAGGATCGAAGACATCTGGGACGATCCGCCACGCACAGTCTGAGGTGGGGACCAATATAGGACACGTAGTGAGACTGGCGAAGGCAACGGTCGCAGAGTGGTTCCGGCCGGGGCTTCGCACTTGCCATGATTAAAAGGACGATGCCAAAGGCAGCCAAAGCACTGCGCTGGATTTTCGATGATGCAAAACCACCTCGCACTGCGGGCTTGGGCACATGCAAGAATGGCCTACATATTTGCAGACAAGATGGAAGCAATCTGGGCGTTCCCGCTCCGAATGAAGAGGTCGAACTGGATGACGGATCATCTAGGATGCAAGCAGGATGTATATATATATATATATATATCCAGGCAAATCCATTTCAGGTGTCAATCCATCACTCTTTAGCCGCAAATGCGATAAGGAGTGCGAAACCGAACTTGCAAGGGCTGGACCCATGTCCTCATCAGGACTGTTGAGTGCACTTGGCGGGCCCCAACCTTGATTAAACATCCCCAGGCTTGGACAGAGCCAAAGGTCCAGGAACAAGGCAACAAAATGGAGCCAGGAAGTGCAAATTTAGCTTTGAAGCAAAATGGATACATCACAGGCACAACAACACTGCTCAAACAGTAAGGGGCAGGCGTTGCTCTCCGCTCTTGAAAAAGGGTCTCGCATCTGGAACTTCGCTCAGCAGGAGCTTGTCCTGCGAAAACCAGTGATGTGGTCTATGTCGTTTTGGAAAGAAGGAAGGCCTCAGAACGAATAGTGTCCACAGAGGTGCTCTCTTCGAACCACTTGTAGACCTCTAAATTAAAGGGTCCATGTGGAATGAAGGCGCCAGGCGGACAACTTCTACACAAAGCACCAAGCCTTGCCGTTCCAGACTTCCACTAAGATACAATTGGCTGCCTTTAGGCCTAGGTTCGGCAAGCCAAGAACTGAAAGCGCAACGCACTCATGTCCAGAATCGCGCGCTCAAAGTAATAGCTCTGTAGCAAAAGTAACTCGGCAAGGGAAACCACCATAATGCAGATCGCATGGTTTCTTTATGTTTCTACTTTGTCATATGTTTCATTATGTTTCTATGCGTTTCCATCTTGTGTGTTCATCATGTTGCTCATGTCTGTTCATGTTGAATGGACTCAAATGAACTCGATGCCTGCACCAACTTTCTCTGCCGCCACTTCAATGAGCTCTTTCACCTTGGCCATAAAGGAAACTACTAGCTTACTAGCGATGGCCTCGCTACAAAGACTTCCTCAAAAGAGAGTGAATTAGACTTAGCCTGAGATCAACCAGGGCACACTCGCTTCCTTGTTCACTTTCACAGTGACCTGCTACTTGGATGTCTTTGCTCAAATGGGCAAAACAATGCAAAATGTGCTTGCCCTCAGCAACTTGAGAGAACCTAGAGTTTCTGAAAAGAAATGCCCCGCCTGTTGGAACTGATTGGCACCTTCTGCGTCACCTTCGCGAACCTTCAAAAAATACGTATGCAAACATCTAGACCTCGAGTCTAGAATCCAAAAATGTTTGCAGTTCGTTGGCCAAGCATCTTGAATTCTGAAACATCTTGTCATTCCAAAACAAAACATCCAAAGTTCCTACGGTCCAAGGCTTCCACAACAACCATATCCAGGGCCATCTGTCGCTGCTCCGCCTCAAATCTTGACACCAGCTAAGGCTAAGGAGTTACATTATATGTTATAGTGCGTTGTTCCGGCCGAGATGATTCACAGATTGTTTCGAACATATTGAAGCATGTACATGTTAGTTTTGCATGCTTCGACAGCGGTCCGTTGGACTTGGGTCTCCCCGGCCGAGCTGGAGAGTGAGAGCTTCGCTGACAAGAACGGGTCGAAGGTTACCGAGGTGCGGCCGCACCTTTGGGTTAGCAATCATTGCAAGCAATAATAAACTTTTTAGTTGTTTGCAAGTAATCCCCTCGTGACTTGTCTCAGTCCTCGACTCAGGATCTGGACAGCGCACTACAGATTTGAAGAGACCTCCACAAACAACTTTAAGTAGCGTTTGCAGTCTGCAGTCGCCTATAGCACTTAGCATATAATAGTCTGTACGTACGCGAAGTCTGTTTTGCACTCTTCGTTTGCCTACGAACAGGTCATCAACCTTCGACTTGCTGCGGGCATGGTACGCATGTAGCCTCAGTTGATACATCTGTTCTATCATACCTGAGAAGGGAGGGGATGAAAGCCAGCCTCCGTAAGAAGACATCAATGTGGTTATGGAGTGAAGTCGACACCGCACTTCAGTTGCTGTCAGGCATGGGGAAATGCAGAGAGGCGCAAAGTCTCGCCTTGAGGGTCGATATGATATACACAAGGTCTTGATCAAGGCCCATTCACTGTTAGCGGTTATAGCATAGAAGTGGAGCCCATGCGTTAGGAGAAGGGTTGAGTTGAGCAGGACATTTAGCTTGGGGGGACAAAGTTTTAACTGAGCAGGACATTCACAGGTCACCCTTTTTCTTTTGGCTAAGACATTTCAAGCTGAATCAGGGCACCCCTAAGTAACTGAGGGGCGTTTGCCTGCTGTTTGCTTCTCCTGTCTTGTACCTGGACTCAAACTCGGTGTGTTCCTAAGAGTAGACCGCTGAAGTTTATTGCCAAGATCACGTGATTGCGTAACATCGAGCTTAAGTCGACATTGCACTGACCTCTACTGCTGTTCGGCACGGGGAATTAGAAGGCAGAGATGCGTAGAGTTTCGCATTTATGCTCGATATGATAGAGCCTGTATGCACAACGCCTGGATCAACTCCCATCCGCCATTACGCGTCATAGAATAGACTTCAAACTCGTACAAAAGTCCGACTCGCTTGGACATCTATAGCTTGGAGGGGTGCCCTTTTTCATCCTGTGAACAGCCCTTTTCACAATAAAAAAGCGCACCCCCAAGCAACTCAGGTTCCTGACAGCATTCTGTTCCCTCTCCAGGAGACCATATCTCGCCACTTCTGTCCTCTAGCTGGATGGAACACACCTGGTTAGCCTCGTCAAATCGCTCAGTCTGGGGTGAGCTCTTATTAGCCACGGGAAAACAGAAGGCTGAGATTCGCAGCGTCTCGCTTTGAAGCTCGATATGAAAGAGCCGATATACACAACGCCTGGATCACCTCCCATCCACCGTTTCTGGGCACGGCGCATATGTCCCTCTGAGGGGTGCCCTTGTGCATCCGATTAACAGCCCTCTTCACCAAAAAAGGGGCACCCCCAAGCAACTCAAAGGTTGCTGCTTGCATTCTGCTCCCTCTGCTGTCCTCTGCGGGCGACATCGTTTCTTGCGCCCCCTTTCACTCTGATTAGCCACGAGAGGCTGAGAGACCATGGTGGGCTTCCGACCTCTTTTCCTGTCACGTTGTCCCCCCTTTCCTGTCCTCAACATGAACTCCCACCCCTTGTCGAAAGACTGTCCAAATAGCCTCCTGAGCCCCTCATGATGCTAATGATGCACTGTTCGGCGTCAATTACATCACTCGCACGCAACACCCCAAAAACCATACATGTTCACTACCTTTTGGACCGCCTCTTCTTTTCACTCTTCCCCACCAGGCTCTGGGTTCGCCCTACCCTGCCGGGCTACGTCACCAGCTGGCTTTCGTGATATTAATTTTTTTTGCACAAGCACATCAAATAGAACTCTCAAGGTAAGGAAGGGACGCCGGGAAATTTCTGTGGTAGGTGACAAGGCTTGGGAAAACTGGTTACACGATGTTACACCTCTGAAAACGATGGCCCCCGCATCTGAGCACACACTGCAGCTTCATCAAAGTTTGGCTCGGCTCCCAGGCGCTTCATCTGCTACTTCCTCATCTGGCCTGCCATCTGCCTCAAGCCGCGAAATACCAAGATGGCCAAGTCCAGGGTTCGATAGCAGCCTTGGCGGGCCTTGCCTCTTTCAGCTCAATGTAGGGCTTCCGGCCATGGATTTCATTGCAGTCCTGACGAATGTTTGGGGCCATGACTCAGAGTGGTGCTGCCATCAGCTCCTCTTTTAGGCCATCCAGCACATACTCAATGAGCTCCATGGAATCCTGGAAAGGTCATGTTGAAGGCCATCGCTTCTAGGTTGGAGGCCATCACTCTTTGGTTTTGAGCTGAGGGCCACGTGGTCCTGCTGGCCATATCCGCTGAATTGCTCGGCGAACTGGCCCACCTGTGTGGCGAATGAGTGAACTCATCAGCCGGCTTAACCTACTCGTGCGCAATCCACCTGCCATTTGAAGTTCCGAGGTGCTACCTGCCACCATGAAGTGCATTTCTCAAACGAAGTGACTTCTGGACTATTCTGAGCCCAACAGCCTTTGTGGTGTTTGGCTTCCACATCACCTCCAACCTCACGAGAGCATTACAACTTGGTCCTTATCTCCTTACGTTCCGTCTGAAGATCTTCATGCTTGTCATCACTAGCAGGATCCGCGTTATCCAAGGTTTTCAAGTAATTGAACGGAACAAGTACCAAGTAAAACACTTGCACAAAGCACATCCGATCATGCTCAGCGCGTTGCAAATTCGCGAAAGACTCTGCAAGTTTGCCTTCGGTCTTGTGGGCATTCCGGTTCAGATTCTCCTGCAAACAGCTCTTGGCTGTGATGCTTATTACAGCCCAAACAGAACAGTTGCAAATCTCAAGGCTACCTTCTCCTATCTGTCTAAATGTTGAGACATCTCTTTTGACCAAAACATTCCCAAATCCAGTCCACCCTGAGCCTTGTATTTACCCTCCAAGAAGAACTCCCGCAACTGTGGGATGTTCGAGAGGCATTGGAGGGAGCTGTTCCTCAAAAGAATGACAACTAGAAGATCTACTTGAAGATCAAAGCGGTAGAGTCGGTAGAGTCACCAGACTTAGGGGGCTGGCATGAAGCAGGTGTTGCCCAGATTCTGCAGTCCAACCACTCCTTTCTGGATGGGCTGACCCACCTGGAGGATCTGAGTTGAAATCGGAACCCAGGCACCTGTTACTACTAGCGTGGCACCTGTTACTACTAGCGTGGCACCTGTTACTACTAGCTTCTTGTTACTACTAGTAAGGCACCTGTTACTACTAGCGTGAGAAGCAACGAAGCACAGCACTTTCTGGGGCAAGGCGCCGTCGCGACGTCGGCAGAGGTATTGTAGTAGGAGCTGGAGGAGAGACCATATCCGCCCGTGCTCGAGGTCGCAGCATACTCAGGTCATGGCCATTGGATCTTCAGGTAGAAGAAAACAAGGCACGGCCATGATATGTTTTCCGAGGTCAGGACGGGATCTGGAGTTGTCTGAGCATCCTCACTCGGACCAACCAAAAGCCGTGAAAATATGGTCGAGCAAACCATTGGCTTTCTAAGTTGCAATCTGGCAAATGCACTTAGTTTGTTGACCAGCTTAGCTGCACTCTGAGCAATTCACGTCTAGGTTCTCCCAAGTTCCATCTGGGAGCTGCTCTTGCAGCAAAATGGAGTTGCCCTCCACGTTGATGCGTTGAGATTCCAGTGTGTCGTCCTTCCATGCAACACTTTCAAACAGTCTTTCTCAACCCAACATTTTTTTTCTCGATATCGAGCATCATGACTCTTTCAACAGGGAACATCGAGAGTCAGTCAGTCAGTCAGTCAGTCAGTCAGTCACTCACTCACTCACTCACTCAGTCAGTCCAGGTGACTCTCCAGGAGTGCAAAGAGTTTCTCGTTGAAATAATCCCAAATGCGGACCTACGAGACTTCAAAGAGCTCTGAAAGCGGAGTCACCAGCGAGTTGACCACTAATCTGACCTTGCTTTCATCCAGCCCAAGATCTGCACAGAGTGTAGCCTGGCATAGTTTCACGGCTCCGCACGAGATGCTTCCAAGCGAAAAAGCTCCTAGTGGCGTTCTTGTTCCTAGTAGCGATGCCCTTTGCTCCTAGTAGCGTCCTCTACCAAGGCAAAGGCTTTCCATTTCGACTTGCAGGATCTCTTCTTAGGCCATTTGCTGCCAAACGGTTTGGTCGACATGTTTGTGCTACCAAAGATTTGAGTTGCCCCTCAAGGTCCTTAAAAACTGTTTGCATTCTCCCTCTCTCTCACACACACACCAAATGTCTGGGAAATTATCGGTAGTGCCGACCTTGGCCAAAACCTGACACCTCCAGTGAACATGGGATGTTCGCCTGTATACCCAATTCTACGCTTCTTAGTGCACAGCTCGACGGCCTTGAGCTGCCCAATGGTGCTGGACTTGGACTCATTGTGCTGGCGGTCAATTGCATGAGCCCAGGTGACAGCCCACAGGTCGATGGCATTCTTCTTAAGCAGACAGCATACTAGATGGGCTAGACATACTTAGTCTATCTTCTCGGAGCTTGCGGCTACGGCTATGGCAATTGAAACCACTGCAAGTAGGACCGAGTCCCTGATCTACTCTTGCCTCGTATGGTGACCCCTGCAGATCGGTCGATCTGTAAACCTCGTCGTGGTCACAGCCGCAGAAGCTCAATGCTTCCAGTGCATGTCTCATCTCTCAAGAGGCTCTAACAAAACTGCTTAGATTTGAAGTAATTGGACGATGAACTTGGCACCAAAGTCACTAAGGAGGTACTGCAACTAGTTGTCAGAAAACGACAAGGTCATGTTTCAGAGTCCGTCTAGGCCATGTGAATCTGGGCCGTCGGGACTTTCAAGTTAATACCGTAGAGCTCCACTTGGACACTGCCACTCGGTCGCGTAATGGCTCTCCTCTTGATCGGTGGTCCACCACCTTAGTCTTCATGTGAAGCGTTCGCCCATTCTTGCGGAGCAGATTCCAGGTCCTCCAGATTTTCCCTGTCTGGCAGCAACATGCTGCCAATGTGTTCTTGGCTGCCGAGCCATACCATCCAAAAAGTAGGTCCCAAGCACCCTGGAAATGACACGTTCAAAAGTTTGCAGGATTGAAAAGGCGTCTTGTCCAAGTGAGTCGTCTGCAAACGTGCAGGGCGCTTTGAATGGTTTTGCCCTTGCCAAGAAGGGCCAACACATGTCATATGCCAATCAAAGGGCGGTTTCGTGTTTGTGCGCAAGTTTCCACATACTTCGACACTCCTTTCTGCTGGAAAAAAGATCAGTCCTCCGGGATAATGCGATAGTCGTTGTGCTCATCCAAGGATCTCTTGATCTTAGATGCAGATCCCTCCTCAAGAAAATCAGCACACCATGCGCAATTGGAGCGAGCCCAACGCGGCTTTCCTTAAAGCAAGAACAATTCTAGTTGCTAATTCCTGGGTCTGGATTATCAGGGAAAACGTATCTTCAGAAAAGGGAACTCATGGATTAAGTCACAAAGTCCCATAGCTGATTCTGTTTGACTCAATGACCATGGAAGGGGCTCCAAAGGCCATCTCCTCGAGGAGGGCAGTGTTGTCAATCTGGCCCGGGCGATCTTTGGTCCAAGAGCCTGTGCGCCTAGGAAAAGGATGACATCTCCGACATCTTCTAAAGGTTCGTTGATGCCTTGCATCTCATCAGTGTCCACTCTCTGTTGCTAGACAGCTAACAAACCGATCTTCTCTCCTCATTGCAAACTCAGTCCTGCTAAGGTCCCCACTGTCTCGTACGTCTAGTCGTACTGGTGCTTTCTTGAGAAGCGGAGATGGATCCCAGAAGAGGAAAATCATCTCCTTCAAAACGGCCCAAGGAAACTCAGGGTGAAATCATAAATATGAACCAAACACTGCTTTGATGAACCAGACTCCAAAAACGAACCGAAGGATCCTGATAAGATCAGTTGGTTCATTTCCACTTCAGCTGATCAGCTGATGTTAAATGGTGTGGGGCCTTCCAATGGTGGATCTGCAGGCCGCATCTGCGGGCTCTGCACGCTCGGCGCTCCTGCACGCTTGACGTCGCTCTTGACAAGGAAATCCGGCTCCGGCCCCCCTGTTCCCACACAGTTCCTACCCACTGGAGCCATTCCATGTACCTCAATGATTCGCACAAGTTGGGACTCTCGTAGTTCTGAATCTCAAAAATTCTGAGTGCCGCACCAACGTTGGTTCACCAGAAAATATGATGAGCCAGCCTCACAGCGACTTTGCAGCGTGCGACGTTGTGCAAATCTGACATTCTGCGCCCAGCCGTGCAGCCTTGAGGGGCTCATTGATCAGAGGCTCGAGCTGCTTGTACTCCTCAAGTCAATATCACAACTATCGCAACTTAGACTGCTACATCCCAACATCCCCAGAACATCCTAGGTCCTGGAACACATCTGCTACGCCCCGGGTGACATAAACAGGCCCAGTTCAACTCCGATACCCGTGGCTTCGATCGATAACCTTCATGAGATTCTCCTCGAGAAACAGCCTTCATGCGGGGATGTTTTGCAACTTGGTCACGCAAGCAGCACAACCCGTTCTCCTCTTTTCAAGCAATGATCAAGTGTCACCAGCCAGGCAGGGCTGCATGCTGGCTTCCAACACCCATCACCCAACACATCCAGGTTGGTGATGGTTGACTTTACAGGATGATGCAGGTGGGGTACACTGTATGCTATGTGCACAGAGGTTCATCTACACTGCAACAGTATGCCTGCAGCCTACCACAGACATGAACTGGTCGCTTTGACAAAAGGTCAAACCTGGCAGCTGATATGAGTGAATATATGCCTTTGGGTGGCATTCATCAACTTCAGGGGCCACCCTGCAAAACCCACATGGGATTCGGATTGACAAGCTTGAGTCCTCCACAGGAGATACAGGCTCCGGCGCTGGTTGCGGAGCGTGCCCTGAGCTCACAATGTTATCAAGGCACAAATGCTCAACTCTCAGTTCGTGACCATCTGGCATCTCTACCATTGCAGATTCTCAACTTTGCTGAAATGCCTACCATTATGGGTCTTGTCCTGCTTCTGACATGTCATTATGCGTGCTTCTTGGAAAAAGCTGGGCTCTGGAGCCTAACACTCCAACTGCAAGCCAATATTGCAGCAAGGTGTCTGAAATGCTTACATCGGGTGGTCTCAATGATGCATGTAGCGGCTGCGTATTGTCTGTGTGCGTTCGGATTCCTGTGCATTTGAAATGGAATGACCCATGAAACCCTCAATCCACTAAGCATGCTTTGATGATTACATTTATATATATATATACATAGAACCCTTAATGCCTCTCTGCGCAACACCTGATGAGCGCGGAAATTACACACATGCTTGTTCTATCACATGGAGGGACAGTTTGGTCACCTTAAACAGGATTGTTTTTGATACACACTGAGTGAGCTCATAGCATTAATGCTCTTGCCAATGGCAGTCAGGAATCTTTTCTCATGTCCACGGTAAGAAGTTCACGTGCATGCTGACACCCAGCACATTGTAAAGACCTATGTACAGCTTCACGAGGGGTCTGAGTCTAAGACTACTCTCACTATGCCTACTAAACAACATGGACGCAAGAAACCAATAGAAAATGGGACAAGCTGAGGAAAGTACTCTAGTGGCAATCTGTATATTTGCAAACAGCGAGATGTACGCCGCCAAGAAGCCCCAATGCAATGCATGTGGCACAAGAGGGCACCGCGTCAGTGCTATGTACCTGACAGCAATCCAAGAGCGCAAATCCGTGGCTTGCTTTGAGCCCTGTACTCTTTGGAGTTCCTGCACGAAATCCTTCAATACATACCCAACACCAGCCACCGTCACGGTCAGGGCAGGAGTGGCCAAAAGGAAGTTGGGTAGTTGCTTGAATTGCCAATACTGAAGGAAGCCACCTTGCCAATACTTTGCCTGGATTTGATTATAAGCACTGGGAATGTTGCTTTGACACCAATCGGGAACTTGTGCATTTGCGGAGCATTGCTCCGCACTTGAACTTGAACATTGCTCTGGAATCAATACGTCACGACACACCTTCCAAACTGCAAATGCCTGAAAAGTCATAAAGGGCGCAACGACCAGCACAAGTCCGGTGATGCAGCGCAGGATAGCCCACCAGAAAATACGAAGGCTACTGTGAGACTGTGAAATGTGTTTGACAGCAGCCAAGAGCACGTGATATGCAAGGAAACCAACATTGACGAGTCCGTTGGAACGAAGCGCTCCGGCCAATGCAAAGAAAGCTGCGCTGAAATAGAAATGATCCATCTGAAGAAGCAGCATTGCCCCAAGAGTACAAGCTGCAAAAGGGCTTTCTGTGTAGATGCAGCTGAAGAATATATTTGCTGGAGAGAAGCAAAAAACTCGAGCAGAATTGAAGGCCAATGCGCGGTCTTGCAATATGGCAAGGCCAAGCCGGAAAATCAGCCATGCTGAGATCACAAAGCATGAATTTGTGATCAACAACCCACTCAATAGCAATGACAAACCCCAGGAAAATGGCGAAGCAGCGTGCAACACACGAGCTGCTCCATTGGTGGCTAGGGGCAGAAGTGGGAAGAACGCCAAGTCTTTCTCATCTTGATACCCGGCATGTGCAATATTCAGGAAATGTGCTGAATCCCACCGTGTAAATGCCAACAACCAATGTGGCATGGCCAGTTCCTGAAAGGGTCTAACAACTGAGGGATCTGGCTGATGGTCTGGAATTACCACATCGAGCAGGACGGAACTAAGGAGTATCACACCTCGGGACAGAGCTGCAAGACAAATCACCTGCGCATCTAGGCTCCAAGACTTGCTTTGTCCATAGTTTCCACGCGTTGGAGATCCCGGGGGCGACATGTGAGGTGATACACTGGACGGTGAAATGAACTGGTTACCGGTGTTCAATGCAATTTGCTTTTGAGCCCACAAGTGATGCTGCAGGCGACCAACAATGGATGATGCGAGTTGGTGGGAACCCAATCCAAATAATTGTGATCTATGCTGCAATCTTGATGTCTGGAGGTGTTGAGATCGTCATTCTCCAGAATGATAGAAATATTGAATATATATATATATATAAACACGATTTATCAAGCAAACAACGTGCAGCTGGAAGAGAGTTGAGAATTTTAAGGCCCTTATATAAGGCGTTCTTCAAGTGTTTGCAACAAATCCATTGTCAACAACCTACATGCGCGGGAGAATGAAGGCGACTCAGCTTTTCTCACAGATCTCTCAGAAGGCCTGGGCCCTCCGATCACATCCACCGAAGGGATGAATGCTTTGAGATGGACAAAGCTGCCCTACCGGTCTAGGAATGGGTAATGGTCGAACGGTCGTTCTGTCTCCACAAGGATTTGGAGGATCTTCTCAGGAGTGCCCATTCCTGGAAACTAGGGCATCCGAGATCATTACCAAAGTGTGAGCCAACAATCAGCATCACATCTAAAACACATGTAATCTTCTCAGCACAAAGAAAGTGCTTCCTGGCGGGTTGCTCAGGTCCTATGACATGCGCAGGAGAAGATTACGGGTGACACCCAGCCAATCACCTGACCAAACCTATTCAACACAGTGCGTTCCACTGATCCTGTGCTCACTGTCAAGAAGCATCTCTTCAGCCTGCAATCAGTTTGTCAGGAAAAGGACTGGTTAGTGACATTCAAGCTTCTGAAATTGTCCTTGTAGATGAAACATTACAGTGCCCATTCTAGTTCCAGGGTGTCTGCGCCGTATTTGCTTCCCTACGGTCGAAATTGGGTGCCTCACGCTTGCCAGTGCACTACAACATCATTTCGCTGAGAAAAGACAGGTGCTGCACTCGTTGCCGATGTAAAGGTTGCTTCCTCAGTTGTGGTTTTCGTCTGAGTCAGACTTGCAATTCTCTGAGCCGAGGCCATATCTGTTCCAGCTCTCAGTGATGTAACATCTGGCAAGCTGTATTACTAACTTGGCTCAAACGTGCAATGCGAGTGTATATAAGGCAAAGATCAGCACAATGGTCATGGTGACCAGAAACATGCTCGGAATACCATTTTGATCATCAACACTCTCCGCTTCACCTGGCAAGAAACTGACAACATGCTTGCCTTTCATCCTCTCCTCATGAGCCTAGCAGCACGTTGATTTATAAGCTGTATGTGGAAAGCATTTGAAAACGTGGAAGTGTCACAGGCGAGTGCACGTCGGTTGTTGTCACCGAAAATCGTGGAGTGGATGCTAGACAATGGCCATGGCAGCTGGAAAACACCTGCACCTGAGGCTGATCAGTAGACAAAACCTGAAGAGAAAAATAGCCACATTTACTCCATATCAGCAGCGCTTCCCTGTGCCACTCAGCAGTGCCACTCAGTGCCTTTGGCTACCAAGTGACCAGTCTCATGAAGGTTGCGCACCCAAGCCTGGTCACTGACAGGCGCCCACAGGTCACCCAGGCGCACGGGTCACCTAGATCCTCCCCAAAGATCAACAGGTCTATCAGACTCTACCATCGGTTTTTCTATCGAATCCGAAAACCTACTACAATCTACTATATATATATACATAATGCATACTCATTGTGCAACAAGGCACGCAAATCTGCCAACTGTGCAATGGATCAGCATCGTCGAAGCTAAGTCTGAAGCTGGGACTGGATTGACGCCCAAAGCCAGAGCCAGTTCTTGGCAGAAGTGGATGCAGTTACGTCCTGGGATGCAATCACCGACAAGCCACCATGGAGCCCACTTGCCAGTCTTCTAAGTCCAGAGCGCAGCAGGTCATAGGTGCCTGTGACAAGCAAAGTTCACTTGCGAAACTATAAAAGACATATCAAATATCAGTCACACATCCTATGCACGATGACTTTCTCCTACCTCCTGGCCAATTCGAAGCCAACTTTCCACGAATCAAATATCGCACTTCCCATTCCTCTCCAAATCAAGCTGCAAAGAGTTCTCCCATATTTCTCAAAAATGAGCGGCGTTGCCGACTCTACATGCCTGGTACTCAAACAATATCTTGTTGAGAGTTTAGGTCAACTACACTCACAATGTGTCTCCTTGAGATTGGTGTCTCCAAGATTGATGGATTGCCTGGCATGTTGATGAACTTCCAAGTGGTCCGAAATGTCAAAAAGGCCACAAGCCTGTAGACATGAACTGGATGGTGGCGTGGCCGGAGGCTCCTGCCTTCAGAATCGCACCGATGTGCGAACTCAGACAAACCGAGTGCGTGAATTGACCTGTTGCAACACGAGCCAGATCCACAAACCCCGCAGGACGAGGGAGTGGGCGTGCGATAGAAGGCCCACTCTTGTCCATAAACCTCAGCGCTTCATCCATTTCCCCAAGCACCAAACAATGCCATCCAGCCTCGATGGCAGCGTGGAAAGCCCCCATGGTACTGAACCTCGTTTCTGGTTTCAGGTGCCCCTGCTAGGGCCCGCGTGGAACCTGCTAGGGCCCTGGCATGGTATTGCAGAGCATGGAGTTGGGGATGGACAAAGCAGAGGCCAAATCAAAAATGTTGAGAAATACCTTTCGCTCTGCCAGGAAGGCTGATAGCTGGCTGAACTGGAGGCATAGAGAACAATTTACATTGTGTGGCCCTTCTTGTTGGCATCTTCAGCTTATAATTATAGAGGTCAGAACAAGAACATTGGAATCGAATCAAGGTATATAAGTCCTCAAAGCTTCTGAGCGCACTGTGTTTGGTGAGGCAGTCTTCAATGCACTTTCAAAGTGTACCACCTCGAGATTCAATTATATACAGTAAATCGGAGAAAGCAATGTGTCGACTTGATGATGAACGCGTTTCCACCTCTGCTAGACTGAAAGAAGGTGAAGATTCTGGTGAACTCTTGGCATCTCGAAACCTGGCACCAGGAAGCCGGTATCTGGACGACGGTGCCCGGCAACTTCCAAACAGGTTGTGGAAGACGTGAGCGCCAAATCCGTAGAAGCACCTCGTTTCAGGAGAGCGAACGTACAGAACGAACTACCATTAACCTTCCAGTAAGCTTGGCAGGGCGGCCAATGGTTCCCCACAAATGGCGAGGGCCTGCACAAAGGCACGCAGTCAAGCAAACCAAAAAGTTAGACGTGGGATGATCTGGGATTGAATTGAATTAAAAATCCGCCCGCACCGAAGGTGCCGAGGCGTTTTTATAGGGCACACGCTATACGTAAGCTAGCATATGCAAGCCAATAGCTTTAGCTAGGGGGGGGGGGCATTTTCGCTCTAGAATCCTGTGCTTTTTCACGTTTTGGAACCGGCTTAAAATGCTGGAAGATGAATTCGTGCTATTTTGAAGCCCCTGGTGATGCAAGAAATGCCATTTTCTTCCTTTGCATGATTTGAATCATCTGCGCAGTAAAATGTAATTGGACTGAGGCCCCTAACGTGGCTCAACATAGCTTCCATATTGCCTAACATAGCCCTAGAAGT